AACCCATGGGGTTTCCTGGGCTCCTTTCACCCTTACTGTGCTCTGATTCTCAGAGGAGAGGCTGTCCTGGGTACCCCGCTGTCCATAGTGCTCCTTTCCTGGGGCTCAGCCCTGGTTTATGTTCCCCAGCCTCTTCTGTGCCTACCTTGAAATAATGGTCCTTACAGCTGCATTACTGAAGATAAAATGCACCCTGAATGTTTTCAGCTCTCTGACACAACTCTCTCCTCGGCACTGTGTGTGATCTTCATTATGTCTAGCCTGGAAAGATATATTTTGTTTTGGAAATTCACTTTTGTGTAAGTTTTAAATTGAAAACCTGACATTTTGCCTTTAGTTAATCCTCATTAGATTAGAAGTATTTACAAGTGGGACTTTTAAAAGAAATCCTGGTGCTCTAAAAACAACTGTCAAGTAAATTTAGTTAGCTTTATTTTTATTGTAAAGATTGTTATTATACAAAACTAATTCTAAATTGTATAGTCAAATATTCCATATTGTTTTGAACATTAGTTATTTTGCTGTTTCAAATAAACATAATATTCTTCTAAGAATATATAAGTAATATACTCTCATACTTGTCAATTTATTACTCTTTTGATATTCATAAATTCCTAGTAATTCTGTGTGTGTGTACCAGTACACACCAGTACTAGAGCTTGGACTTACCGTCCCTTTTAGCTCTTTTGCTGAAATCTGGCACTCTACCACTTGAGCCACAGTTCCATTTCCAACTTTTTGGTGGTTTATTGGAGATAAGAGCTCATGGACTTTCCTGAGTGGGCTGGCTTTGAACCTGGATCCTCGATCTCAGCCTCCTGAGCAGTTAGGTTTATAAGCCTGAGCCTCCAGTGCCCTGCTTATATTCTTAGTACTACTTTCTCTACACAGAGCCATCGCTGCTGAAGTAACAGACTCCAGGTGCTCCTTATTAACAGTCTCTGGAGGTAGCAGCCAACACTACCTGGGCCCTGTGACATTGGGGCCAAGAGGACACTGCTGCTCTTGTGAGAGGCCCATCTTCTGGCCCCACAGCCCAATCTCTGAGGGCTGTCTCCTGCTCAGCTCTCTGTCTTAGGAGGCTGCCAGGGGCTTTGATCAGGTGCCTGCAGGGTGGTCATGTGGTATGGAATGCACACGGAAAGAGTGCGCGTGTGCATGTGCGAGAGCCAAGACCACAGGTGTGCTGGGCCTGGGCTGGACTCACAATGAGCCCTCCTCCTTCCCCTCCTCTGTGGTTAGCTTATGGCTCAGCATGTGTCCTACTTGTTTATTTTCCTTTGGAGTAGGGAAAAGAGAGGTTGTTTATCAAAGGATTGCAGCTCATGTTTTAAATATCAGCTAGTCAATCTGTGTCACAACTAACCAGCAAATAACAATTTTTCTGATAGTTGAAAGGAACGCAGACTAAATCACTTTCTCATAGTTTAGCAGAGTCTTCCAATAAAAATATCATCTCCAGATTCATAGAATATGAAAAGCTTTGACTTTAGAAAACATTTTGGGTCTGTTTATGAGTCAAAACAATTTCTGTGCTGTGCAGTACGCCCCATCCACCCGTGCCCAGGCGCTGGAATGTTCTCTGCTGCTCTCCAGCCTCATCACAGACAGCACCCGTGGTTTTCACTTTGTGGATTTGGGTGGTCAGGTTTTATTATTAATAATAAGCTGTGTCCAGTTGGGTCTTTGGCAAGCCTGCATAGACGTCGCAGCCCTCAGTGTGGTCTTGTGGCAGGAGGGCAGGCTGGCAGACTGCAATGGGGGCGCCACATGGGCCTCTCCTGTCACGGCGTTCAGGATACCTCACCCATGAAGGGGAGTCTTGTTTGTGCCAAATTGTAACACGCTTACGGGGCAGATGCATATGGGAAAATGCAAAGGATCTCTGTTTTCAAGCATTTGAAAACCCAGTATAAAACATCTGTTAGTCAGTTTCTCGGGATTTTATTTTTAAAGAACTTACTAAATATTTGACAAATTTTGTTAACATTTGTAAATATTTACAATACATAATATTGAGTTTGGATAATTGCGCAGTTTTCTTTTACTTATTACTCATTTCTTTTATTTGGTATTTATTTTAATACCAACAAAACTAAATGAGTTTGATGGAACAGTGAATTCTTAGGAGTTATGTCAGTAGTGGGAACACACTATCTGTGATCAATCAGATTTTTATTGAAAGACACTTGGGAATTGAAGATACATGACAGCAGCCCAGGCCCAGGAGGAGGAAGTCTGCCTCTGAGCAGACTTTGGCAGCGCTGAAGCACGGCGTGCCATGCTGTGTGCGTGTTTACAAGCACAGCCTGGTGACACTGGGGAAAGCCACACATCTGTTTGAAAGTTGTACATAGGGGTGTGGCTCTGTGCTTCCATCACTAGCTCTGGAATAGGGTGGTTGGTGGGTAGATAGGAGGATGGGTGGGTGGGTGGGTGGGTGGGTGGATGGGTGGGTGGATAGATAGATAGATTTGAAAGGTGAGAACGTAAAGATTAAATACCTGACCCCAAAAGTAATGTCTTTGAACAATTTGTGAAGTCATATCTCCCGCACAGGCAAGTGAGGAATAAGAAAAAGGAGTAAACCTTAGGCAGAAGCTGAACATCAGTGACAGATTCATCATTCATCAGTGTGCCCGGGGGCCCGCTCACTCCCTTGGCAGCCTGTGTGGGGGTGGCAGCCCCCCAGCCTCTGCCCTGTCTGTCAGCCTGTGCTCACCGCCCTGTCCTCACTGGCTTTGCTCTTCCTGCTCTCTTCTGCCCAGCCTTGCATGTTTGCTCAGATTCCTCCTTCTACTCCTGGTATATGAGCATCATGGTTGGTTTTATTCATGCCTCATTCCTGCTGGCTGGAACCATGCTGGTACCTCCTAAGAGCACCATCAAAATCCGTCCAGTGGAGCTGAGAAGGTGGCTCAGTGGTAGAGTGCTTGCCTAGCATGCATGAAGCCCTGGGTTCGATTCCTCAGACCACATACACAGAAAAGGCCGGAAGTGGCGCTGTGGCTCAGGGACGGTGCCCAGGCCACAAGTTCAAGCTGTCCAGTGGAATAATGATATCCAGCATGAAAAATTAGAGAACTTTGTGGTACACAACATTCCTTTAAGCGCAGAAGTCTGTGGAAGGATACATGTGTACCAGCGAAGGAGAAGGGAATGGAGAATAACCGTCTTTCTCTCCTTGACTTGTTCTCTGATAGAGCTAAGAGCAGAAGTTTTCTTAGTGAATTTCTGCTTCATGGTGGACCCTCCAGACCTCCACCCAGTCAGCTTAGTCAGCTTTCCCAGCATTCTGTGGCCCATCTGGATCACATCCTGTCACAGCTTTGGGCCGTGTCCTAAGGGCTGGATGTCCCTTGTCTGTACAAGGAGCTCTCACTGGACCAACTGCTGCAAAACTCTTAAGTGTGGTTAACTAACAAGCATGCACACCAGCTGTGATAATGACACACATCTTGGGTATATGGTAAAGTCAGCAAAGGAAAGCTAGTTCTCTAATGTTATTAACTATTTCTGGCAAACATCCACAAAGTCTTATATACTCTCTAGGTACATCAGAATGAAGCATGAAAGTAACGGTAGCATGAAGGAAAACCCAGGGCTAAAACAGTAAAGATGAACTTCTGTGGTGGTGGTGGAGATTGAACCCATAGTCTGGTACATGATAGGCCCCAGCGTGCACTTGGCTCTGAGCCTGTACTGCCAGCCCTCGAAGCAGTTATTTATCAAATGTTTGAAAGGAAGATGAATTGTAAAGCTTCAAGGAAATGGTAAATGTCACAGTGGAATAACCAGAACATGCTTTATGGAGGCAGTGTGTGAACAGCAGAATAGCTAACTTTAAAAAGAAGTAAGACACTAAGGTTAACTGCCAGGATTGACCTCACCTGACCCCTCCCATACCCTCTACCAACAGTTGCTCCTAGCTTTCATGTGTGGGTTAAGTAGGCTGGACTAGCATAGAGTTGGCTCTTCATCAGCTATAATAGTACAAAACAAAACAAAAACAAAAAATGCTATACAACTCAAGAGAATAGAGCCACACCGCCAGCACACACCCACAGGACTGCTGGGAGAAATGGGCCCAGGACACATTGCCAGTCCTGGTCCTGAATGCTGGGAAGTGGGCTCCCGCTCCCTGGTTCTGGGAAGGGGGACAAGGTAGAGATATCTCAAGGCTAAAGTCAAGTTGGTGAAGTAAAGATATTGTGCTAATCTCTGCTATGCAGATCATTTGAACCTGGACCTTGCTCACCGGTGGCCATTGCAGTTGGTGTCTAAGGGCAAACAAAGCCTCCAAGCAGGAATGCTTTTGCATAGAAATGTGGTCCACTCACCGCATGACCTAGTTTGACCTATTAACGGCACTATTTGAGTTCCATATGACACCAGGGAAACCCCACGAAGTTCCTCATGAAGGATGGATCCCACCAACTGAAGGTTGGGGTGGATCTGAGGAGCGTGTGCTAACAGCGGCAGGCCTGTAGAGGCTGAGTCTCGGCATTCCTTCTGTATGTTCGCCCTTTAATACTGCTTTGAACAAGTCACCCCACTAGAAGAACGGCCCAGAGCCTACAACTTGTGCCTGATCAATGTGGCTTCACCTGCTCTCTGTACGTGTGGCACCCTGTTGGAGGGCAGAGCTGCCGTCTCATGATGAGAACGCTACGTGCTGGGGGTGTGGAGGGCACTGGTAGCCATCCCCCCGGGCAGCAGGCCTGCCTCTCCATGTGCTGTGTGGGATACTTCTGTTGGAAAGAACCTTCTAGAGCCTACTTCTTGTGCAATAGAGTTGGGATATAAAACTCCCTCAGAGGTGGCCTTGGGAATCTTTCCCGTGGTTAGATGTGTATTTAAAAAGATTGTAGTGTGTAATGCCTGGGTGAGAAGACCGTCCCCGGCCCAGTCCTCCAGGTCTGCGCAGTATCCCAGAGTCCACTGCCTGCCCAGCCATTTGTTCCCTGCCCCATGCTGTCCTGTCCTGCTCTCGTTGCTAGGTGCCGTGGCCAGCACTGAGGTGAAGATGAAGCTGCAGGAGTTTGTCCTCAACAAGAAGAAGGCACTAGCCCACCGGAACCTGAACCACTGCATCTCCAGCGACCCCCGCTACTGGTATGGGTAAGTGGGCGTGCCCCATTTGGGCTTCTCTCTGGGCCGCAGCATACCCAGCTCCAGGAGCAGGAACGAGAGGACCCAGTTCTTCACCTCCTCAGGAAGGGTGGGAAGCCCATCTGCACTACCAAGATCACTGGTTCCCTGGAGAGTCCATAGCACTTCGGTATTATTATTTTGACCAGAGCCCACATGATGGGCAGCCGTTTGTGCTGAGAGTGGATGGAAAGGGTTGCGTGGAGGCCCCTTCCAGAGGCCCTGTGTAAGCGGCGGGGCCACAGTGAAGTAGCTTCCTGTTACCATCCAGAATACATGGTTGCTTTGAAGACTGCTCTTCTATAGATGCTAATGGCCAAACAGCAGGATGGTTTCCTACATCAAATTGTATAATCAGACTCAGGAGTGGAGCCACACCTGTAATGCTAGTGCTCAGGAGCTGAGGCCAGAGGACTGCAGTTTTCAAAAAACCAAAATTGAACCAATGAAATAAATGTAATCAACGATCTGACTGTGGGGAAAAAGAGCTATGCTACAGCCTGAAAAGGGACAGCCATTTATGCATGACACCAGGTCTCATGACAGGTTGCCGGTGATAGGTGACCTTAGCCATCAGACACAGGCTTCTGTGACAGAGGTACTCCTTTGTCTGAAGGGAATTGCCTTATAGCTCATACATAGAAGTTTGCCCAAAAGTTGGTGGTACTTGTGTAACTCAACAGATGACATGAAAACTCTCAGAGAAGGTTGAGGCAGTCCATAGGGAGCCACAGGCGACAACAATAAAGAGTTGGTGACTTCGGTGGGAGAACCCCCGCAATGCTGGTGCATCAGCGCTCCCGTGCACCCGTGTTCCGTGCTGTGATGCAGTCTTGGCTGTCAGCTCACATTGCGATGTACAGTGGCTCTGGTGTGCCATGCCTATGGCAAGGTGTGGGGGTTGCCAGGCAGATGAAGTAGAAGATAGCAGTAAAGACAGACATAGGGCTCAAATTGGGACAGGCAGGGTTAGTAGGGCCTGGGAGAGATGGAGGGACCTAGGGATGGCGAACCTGTTGGTTACGACTGACCCAGAGCAGTCCTGGGGGACCCTGTCTGTCAGAGGAGGGGCGGTGGAGGGCAGGGCCAGCGTGGATTAGGAAGCTGTGCTGGGAACGGCTCTATGAGCTGTGGGCCTGGGGAGGCACCGTGGCTGACCGCAGTGGAGACCCTGGAGGGTGGCCACCGCGGTGGTGCGGACAGCCGCAGTGGTGTGGACAGATGGGGCTGCTGGAGAAGCACAGCGTGAGGAGGAAGGCTAGCAGGAACAGAGGCTGTGTGTGATGCGGGCCTTGATGCGGCCAGGGGGTGGTGGAAGAACACTTCCTAGAGTCAAAGGTCTCCGGGGAAGAGGGACCTGAGGAATGGGTGCAAGGTTGCCAGGTGAGGGAGGTGCTTCTCGGGAGCAGTGGTGGGCAGTGTCCAGGAGAAGGAAGGGAGCGTGTCTTTCACTTGAAATCACCTGGTGAGCAGGTCACCTCAGGTAGGTGACCCACCTGAACAGGGCTTGCTGGCCCAAGAGTCATGCTGCCTGCTCTGGGGCTGTTGAGGGGGAGACACTACCACGGTGACTAGAGTCTGACCTCAGGGACCTAAGTCTGTGACAGGTGTGTTTCATTGGGTTTGGTGGCTTGCTTGTGACATCATATAAGACCCTAAATGAAGCATCACTGGCAGTACCCACTGCCCTGCGGCAGAAAGTTCCTAGGAATCGATCTTTGGGGGAAGAGCTAAGCCATGAGCTGGCCTCCTGCCATACCTGATGCTTTGTCAGAGCTCATGACCACAGCACGAAGCCAGAACAGCTCCTCTCGTAGAAGAAAATGCCTCATACACTTGGCAGCCTGTTGAAGGGGAGAGTTAGCAAAGATTTCGGGTCACCAGAACCATCAGCTGTGAACCTGAAACACCAGACTTCACCCAGAGAACTTCTGCTTTTTGAAAGGCATCTTTGAGAAAACGAGGCAAGCAGTAGACTAGAAGGAAATTCCAAGTGCATATATATCTGACAAACTACCTGTAGAGGTTGTATAACTTAATATTCAAAAACAGGTAAAAGGCATTAGCAGGTACCTCACAGAGGTGAAGTATGGGTGTCCACAAAGCCCATACAGTATCAGCAGGGGTGTTCAAAGTGGAACTCCAGCAAGTCAGCTGCTGGGCCAGCTAAGCTGTAGTGGGCAGATGGGGCGGGGTGTATGGTGGCTATACTGCAATAGGTTGCCGGGGACTTAAGTAACGTAGCCCCATTGGGGAAAGGTTTGGCAGTATCTTAGAAAGAGAAGTGGGTGCTCACCTACCTTATGACCAGCATGTGCCTTTCCGTGTTGGCCAAAGACAAAGCTTGTCCACGTGAAGGAGCCACTCTTGTGCTCATGGCAGTGGAATTCAGGACCACCAAAGAGCAGAAACAAACATGAATCTGTGGGCAGGTGAATGGCCAGACAGGCTGCGCGTGTCCATCTCAGCGCTGGGAGCCCCCGGCGCCTTTTAGACGCAAGGCTGTGCTCAGCCCGCCCAGGCCCTCTGCCCCTCTGAACCCGACCACCGCTTCTCTGAGCTTCTGTGTCTCTGTCTCCAGGCTGGAAGCAAAGGTTGGAAACTGGAAGATAATAGTAAGTGAGGAATGACTTAGATGGAAGGAGCTGTTCTGCAGGTGCTGCCCGTCATGGTGACAGGGTGTAGCCGGTCTGCGTGAGTTCGTGTGGGCTGATGTGTGAGGTGTATGATGCTGTCTAGGAGTCCGTGTCGTGGTGAGATATGAAGGGTTTGGGGAAGGGTGAGCTCAGCTGTGGCTGGAAGTTTGGTTTTGTTCACACTTCTGGATCCTCCCTCTGTGAGACCCAGGATACCTGGATTTGTCTCTGGAACTTTTCAGCACATTCTTTGTACTGTGTGGTTTCAAATATTTAAATGTACACCTGTGCACCTTCGAGAGCTCCCCACTCTTGATTCAAATAACTCCAGATGCATGAATGTCAGGTATTGTGTGTTCAAATAGCGAAACTCCAAATACAAAAACTGACAAACTTGTTTCCAGGCATTAAGCAGATTATGCAGCATAAAGACCTGCAGATTGTCTTAGATTTGCGGTGTGTGTGTACAGGCTCAGCGGCCAGTGCATCCAGGGCATGCTGGTGGTCATCTTGGATAGCCTCAGCATCCCTTGCTATTCTATCTCCTCCCTCATCCCTCCATTTCCTTGGAGCATCCGTCCTCCTGAAGCCCCTCCCATCTGCTCGCTGTTCGGCCTCTGTGTGGTGTCTGGCCATTCCTGAGGAAATACACTTCACAGAGCAGCTCCCAGGACACAAAAGCTTGGCTCCTATTGAACTCTCCATCTCCTATTAGTCAGAGCAGAGGGGTGGGCCTTTTCTTCTGAAGGAGAAGCCCTCGGGGATCTGTGTTCTGGGAGCAGAGAGAACTCCATGTCACCAGTCCACTGTCCATCCTGGGCCATCTGCCATCTTCTGCCTGCACCTGAGGACAGGCCCTCTGGGCGGCCCGGAGGGGCTCTGCAGGCCGAGGACAGACAGACACAGTAATCCCAGGATGGAAGCAGAGGTGGCAGCAGGGCTGAGTGAGACAGAGGAGCCCACGAGCCCACGTGCTCACTTGTTGGAATATTTCCGTTGACTCTCAGCTCACTCCTAGGATGAGAGCCCTGATAATGGGCTCTGAAGTTCCAAAGAAGGGGCGTCCTGGGGTTGCTTACAGGTTTAGGGCGCCCTAGACACACTGATGTCTGTCTTTGTCTTTCTCTAGGAAGACACAGCACAGCTCCCTGGACCAGAGCTCACCTCCTCAGAGTGGGGTGTCAGCTTCCTACAACCACCCAGTCCTGGGGATGTACGACGCCAAAGATGACTTCCCTCTTAGGAAAACAGGTCAGTTCCAGGTCTTTGGTCAGGTGGACCTCCGCCCTGGTGAAGGCAAACACTCCGTGGCTTGTGCCAAGCCCTGTGGCACACTCAGCTCAGCCAGGGCTTCCTTCCTGGGGTTAGATCCTGCGCTTCTGCGTTAGAACACCGCTTTGAAATGCTCCCTAAGCAATGTTCACCAGCTTTCTAAGGTTCAGGCTCTGCCTGGAAACTCCTCATCTCCTTTGGGTGACAAGCCCTGCTCTGTCCCACTCCAGAGTAGCTCAGCGGGTGGTCCCCAGGGTCTGGCAGCTCCTGCTGACACGTTGCCATCGTCAGCCTTCTGTGCTGGCTCTGAGCAGCGAGGGTCAGAGTGCCCAGCGTGGGGCCAAGCCCCCAGGAGGATGACCTGCGTCCCGTGGCTGTATCCCGAGTGGCCACCACCGTGTGTAGCAGGCCTGCTTCGAGGAGAGGGAGAAGGGGATTGAGGCCCCAGAGGGTGCCTGGCATTGTGGAAGTTTGGAGAGTGCTAGCATAGCTTCGGGACGGGCAGGCGTCCTGGCGCTTTCCCAGGGTGATGGAGCCTTGGCTGTGGAGAAGGGCCTGCGTGGCTGAGGGCAGTGTGTTGGGCTGAAGGAAGGCAGGGCTTCTGGAGGGCGGTCCAGAGTGCCCTGAGTGGCCCTGGCCTGCGGAGGTGGCCCTGATCCACTGTGGTGCCACAGATGCTCTCCGAAACCAAGGGGCCATATGGGGCATGCCCTCTGGCAAGGGGCTGCCTCAGGAGATGAGGTACGAAAGGTACCCAAAACCTTCTGGGCAGTTCTGAGTATAAACGCACTAAGGCAGTGTCGAGTCCTTGTGGGGAAGATGGGACTTACCTGCCCCTCTGTAAAGAAGGAATCACTTGGCAGACACTAGGTTGTCAGCCAGTGGAACCGTGTCCCAGAGACAGGACTGGAGCCTGGAGCTGGGAGTGGGAGGGTCCTTTTAGCCAGCTTAAGTGGAGCGTGGCTAATGTTTGAGATGTGTGCAGTGGAGGTAACCCTGCCAGGCCCTGGCCAGGTGGACGGAAGGGTGTGAGGATCGTCGGCTCGTGAGACTCCCCTGACAGCCCCAGGGTGGGATGGGGCGGGCCACCTGCCCTACTGCTCCACAGCTCCAGGCCCCTCAGCAGTAGAAGGGCAGGTGTGAGGCCTGATGGGTGGCACTGCTCCTGCTGGGGCTGGTTGCTGCTGTTAGAAGTCGAAGCCCACGGGCCTCATACTGTCAGCCCGAGAGCCAGCACACTGGCTGTGCTCACTGCTGCTGCCACAGCCGCAGCCCCTGGCGGCTGTCTGTCCCTCCTGGCCGTGCCAGGCCCTGCCCAGTCTGTCACTGCCTCTCCTGCCTCCACCTCTGTGAGAACTGCCCAGAACGCTGTTGGACTTCAGGGCAGTGCTCCAGGAGACCTTCATTACAATATTATTGTATTAGCTTGTTCATGGTAGTGACAGTAGGAGGATTCCATAGAATTCGGTTAGCCATCAAGAGCAGCAAGGGGCCCAAACTGCCCCAAACACCACTTTTTCTTAGCATTTCCTGTCGTTGGCGCTGATGAGTGACATCCGGGCCTTTCTGGGAAGCAGTAACACAAAAGGCATAGCGAGTGGGCAGAAGGGTGATCGTGAGTGGCATGAGGTGCCCACTAGCCATCCCTGGGCTACACCGTACTAGTTTATGCTGGTCTCGTGCAGTCGCCTGATAGGACTTCGGTAGGAATATGTGCTGATTGCTTTGGCACTCCCTGCGTGTTTGTGTGTGCCTTCGTGGCTCCCTGCCTGACAGGTGGCTCAGCTGCTTACTCCCTCATGAAAATACCTGTTGTTCACCTGAGCTTTCATCCCAGGGAGCCGACATGGCCCTGGCTTGGCGCCTGCATTGGCCCCAGCTCCTTCACTCACACTTAGGACGTGGGGGTGGGCCCTGGGCTTCCTGGGGCCTCGGCTCTGGTCTGTGACTGCACTGGAAAACCTCTCCTATGGCTCCTGAGATGCAAGTGCTTCACACGTGCTCTGAGGAGGGTCCTGGTCAGGCTCTGAGTCTTAACCTGCAGTTCGCCCAGGGAACTTCCCCTGCCTGCCTGGGCACCTCTCCAGGTCCTTGCCTCAGTGCTCACAGCTCAGCCCAGAGACCAGCACAAACCAACCCTCAGCCCTGCTTTCGGGAACTGTGTGGACATAAACAACATTCTAGTCCAAGCCTATCTGGCCAGGCCTGCCCGGCCTGGATTGCCCTTGCCTGACCTCTCACCCTCTCCTGAGAGCTCAGGCCTAGATCAGGTCCCCCGATCCAGGCTCTAGGAGCCCCTCTCCCCCCGAGTTCAGCCCCCACCGCCTGTTAGGGGCCTGCTCGCTGCTCCTTGGACAGCAGGGGTGTCCCCACTGTTGCCTCCCACCAAAACCCATCTTGGCATTCCAGGTGAGGTGGGTATACTCCCTTCTGTCTGCTCCTAGGCAGCCTCGAAGACTGCCCCGACGGCAGAGCCTCTTTAGAGATGACAAAAGGGTACTGGTAAGTACATTTGTGAAAGATAAGATGTAGTATGGACTCATTTGAACATCTGCCAACTGGATCTTCCTGCTGTTTGTTCAGTTTTTGTGGCTGTAACTAAGCAAGACAAAATGTTTTAAGGAAGAGGTGTCCATTTGGCTCACGGCTGTGGAAGCTGCCTTTGAACAGACACGGGAGAGACACATCTGTATGTGTGGAGCGGGACTGCCCAGGCCCTCGGCATTCTCCACCAACCTCATCTTCTTCCACAATGAGGAGGCAGATATGCAAAAATTTTTTAAGAAAGGCGTTGTTGTACCCTTTCAGAGGAACTTAGATGGCGGGCGTTGTTAAGCGCCAGCCAGTTTCTGTATCAAGTCATGCTCAGTGTGCCATTCCTTAAACTTGGATACCAGTCAAACTCAAACTGCTTCTAATGTGAAAAGTACCCACTGAGATCTCAAAGTCATCTTTCCCAAATAGGCATTTTTCTTAATCATCTAGTGGTAAAACCACACCGGGATTGATGCCAGGTGCTGTAGATGTTGAGACTGGAGGAGGAAGAGAGAATGATTGGGGTAACAGCTACTCCTCCTCCCTCCCCCCCATGGCATGGCTTTCCTTCCCAAAGAGCCATGTGGCATGCAGCTTATGCAGCTTGTGATGAGACAGAACAGCCCGCTCTCCCCACAGCTTACTGCCCACAGATCGCTTTGGTAGGTAGGCCTAGGCATGTGTGCCTGTGTGTGCATGTACAGAGCTGTTCTTACGCTGTAGCTTACCTTTCTGTTGCTCCTCTGTGTGAACACCATTCCAGTTCAGTGTTCAGCCCAGTGCGTTTCCTTTAGTGCTCCACTGTGGACACAAGTTAGAACTGCTCTCTAGCGAGTACTCCGCTGACAGAAACAGGTGCCTTTGCCCCTGCTCACTCCTACTGGTATCTCTGGGTGAAAGTCTTAAAGTTCAGCGAGCACGGTCATTTCAATGGTTGATTCAAATCTCAACTTTCCAAGGTCTCAAAACAATTCTATCACTGTTGGCAAGGTTGAGCAGCATTGTGAAACAAGTTTGTATTTTCTGTTTTCCCTCCTGGAGCATCAGCCGTGTGTAGTAGGACCAGTCATAGCTCGTAGCTCTGCCGTGGGATGCTAAGCCACTGTCCCTGATGTCATTTCCTTTTCTTGTTGCTTTGTGAGAACAGGTTTTTGTTTTTTGTTTAATTTTTGTTGTTATAAAGGTGATGTACAGAGGGGTTACAGTTACCTTATATATTAATCCTGTATCTATTATATATGCTAGAAAAATGATACTCCAATTTCAAATTTTTAATTATCTTTTTGGAGCCATCTTCCTCCTCAGACAGTATATACCCATAAAGGCAGAAGCCAGGATTCCCCTGCCCCACAGCGTCTACGTCAGGAAGACAGCTGTCCCGCACGCCGCTCCCTGCTTTACTGTGGCACGTGGCGCCCACAGCTGAGCCGCAGAGTGCCCCTTGGTTATGTTCCTTTCTTATATTTCCTGTCTACTCCCCAAAAGAGATTGTGGTTTTCCCTTGCTCATTTTTCTCCATGTCTCTGTTCATCCATGTCCATGTTGCAGCAGGCCCAGGAGACTCCAGGCTGGGCAGTTAGGTGTGGCAGCCACCATTGGCTTGTCTCTGGCCTGGAGCTGTCATCCCTGGCTGTGTTGCCTGGCTGGTGTGAAAGACCCTGTGTGTGCCTCTGTATATGCTTCCTCCTTCCTTCTGACTGTGTGCATCTTCAGGAGCTTGCTAAGCAGTGCTGCCCTGTGTTTTGTAGGACCTCTCCAGAGGGTCTCTTGTTTGCCACCCAAGGCTGCCCCTCGCCGTCCAGGGGAGCGGTGCGCCTGGATCTGCTCTGCTGGACCTTTCCCACACATTAGCTCTTCACTGTTCTTTGATTTCATGCTAGGCCTTATCCTTCCCATTTTCCACTGGTGTCTCCCCACCCTTTTCTTTTGAAAATTCTCAACTTCTTCCTTTTTTTTCCCCAACATGTCTGTCCCTTGGCTTTATGCGCAGATTCTCTGAGGCCAGACAGAGACCCACAGCCGAAGCTGCAGTGAAGAATTGGGGTTAGAGAAGACACACATTTGAATCACTAGAACTGGTGTCTGTGTCTTCTCTTTAACACGCAATTCAGTCAGCTTGTGAGATGCCTAACATTGAGGTCTCTGAAGTACTTGCCTTTTCCAGAAAGAACCCAGGGGCAAGGAGCAGGGCCCCGTGCCTACAGACCCACAGCGCTTTCCACACGGCCTCACAGACCACCCTGAGACCCAGCAGTAAGCTGCTGCCTTAGGGTGCGTGGCTGTACCTTGCTTTTGCAAGCTTCGCTGTGGACTTCCTCCCTCCTTTGGCTTTTTTGTGCTCCTAGAAGCAAGCGGACTGTCTTACTCGTCCAGTGAATCCCATAGCGTTCTAAGAGGCCCACAAGGACAGGGCCTCACACTGGCTTGGCCCTGGGCAGTTGCCAATGTGTTATCCGGTTCTTTTTGGTCAGTTCTGATCATCCTGCAGGAAGGGTGGGCTCCACAGTTTAGTGTTTCTGTGTCATTGTCATGACCTAGTTAATGGTGGTTGGACTTGGGGCCAGCACCTCCTTCCCTACTATTCTGCAAGACAGATAGCAGATCTTGGCTTAGGAGGGTGGAGGTGGACAGCCCTGCCCGGGGCCTGCCTGCCTTCAAGAAAACCAGAGAACCAAGGAGGCCATGCAGATGGAAGAGCAGTAAGCAGCCAGAGGCCATGCAGGTGGAAGAGCAGTAAGCAGTATGGATCTGGCTGCAGGTAGACAGGTGGCATCGGGTACCAGAGTTGCTGCAGGTGGCCAGTCAGGTGGTGGCAGGTGGTGAAGTGGCTGTGGGTAGCCAGGCGGCTACTGTGAAGAACTGGGAACTGGGAGCCTTGGGAGGGTGTGGACCCCCACAGTCCCTGTGGATGGGAAGCAGAGTTGGACACAGGGCCGTAAGAAGAGAAAAGACAGGTCAGAGAGCAGAGGCTGGACCTGTAGTCTGTGCTTCACACAGGGGAGGATAGAATCCACCAGCAACGACTAAGTGGCTCTGGAGGGGAGGGGACGCTAGTCCACAGGGCATGGCCAGCCAGTGGCCAGTCAGACTGACCCTGTCACTCCCCGTCTTCTGTTGCTACTTGGACCCGCCCAAAGACTACCAAAAGAGGTCAGCTACCAAAAGAAGCCTCTCCCGCAGAGGACCAAGGACTGCCATGCTTTGGCCCTGGAGCTCAGAGTCTGTTCTCCCATGGTTTGCAGCTTCTGTCCCAGAGACGCCAGTGGGGTCTGAGAGATCTTGGCAGTGGGAGAAAAGTTACTGTTCTCTTGCCTAGTAACCAGGTAGGCTTCTGGCTTACTTTGTTCTCATATTCAAGTACAGACGTGGCACGTGTACCTCCACTTGGAGTCGCACAGGTGTGGAGTTACATCTGGCCTGCTTCTCAGCCCAGAGAGAAATTCCATGTAGCAGTGGGGAACTTCCCCTTGCAGAGGGAAAGGGCACCTCCCTCATTTGCCATCTACCAGTGGGACAAGTTCAGGAGTTAGGGACTAACGGGCCCCAGCAGGTGACGGCCCCACTATTCTGCCTGCCATCATCATGTCAGGTTTATCTAGCAGTCTGTCACAGACTGAAGAGCTGGTGACCAACCAGAGTCTTGTGCCTTCTCCCAGGGGCGGTAGCAGACTGGTCTGCTGGGGCTCCCAGCAGGTGAGTGGGGGGTGGGGGAAGGGCTGTGACTGGATTGATCTGGGCGCCTGTGTGGAGGAATGGGGACCCAACACGGGCTCATAGCTGCAAGGCTCCAAGTAGGCATTTGATTGCAGAAACCAGAGTCCCATCCCTAGCTGTGCATTGCCAGCTGGTGGCACCCGAAGGAGACAGGATGCTGAGGATCCACTCTGCCACCCTCCCATGGAGGTGGGAGTGGGGCTGCACTGCCCCTCCCAGAGGCTGCCCTGAACTGGAGTAGGCTGGCTTCTGGATTGTGAGATGTGGATGTCTCTAGGTGACCCGGAAAGTATGTGCCTCATGTCATTTAATAGTGGCCACGGTTCACAACCCTGAAAGTTACCTACTTGTCAAAGTGACACCTCTGTGATGATATAGGCAAGTGTTTTGGGAGAGAATTATTTAAGAGGCATCCTTGCTGAGTGACTCTTGCCCCTCATTGGCTTCTTGCCGTTCCAAGTTAACAAGCCCTAACTTGTGTTTCCATCTCCTGGTAAGGTTCAGAAGCAGTGTGGCTTAGAGATGGTACTGCATGCACAGACGCATGCTGCCCCCGCAGCCAGGCTGTGACTGTCACCACTGACAGGTGGCCTGAGCCTCTGCCCACGGAGCTGCCTTGAGCTCCTGGCGTAAGTGGCTGGTACCTTCCATCCCTGTGTCCTCCCTGCCTCATCAGCATCTTCTTTTGTGCAGCTTCTGAACCCAACCTGAAACTGCGGTCCAGGCTTAAGCAGAAAGTCGCTGAGAGACGGAGCAGCCCCCTGCTACGCAGGAAGGACGGACCTGTGGTCACTGCTCTTAAAAAGCGTCCCCTGGATGTCACAGGTATTTCTAGACGTCGAGGAGTCTCTCTTCCCCATGCACCCCCAATTACATGCCTCCCTCAGACACAGCTTGCCACACCCTTCTCCCTGGCTCAGTTCCTTGCAGGTTGTCATTAGTCTCTGGCGAGAGCTCCGTGTAGCTGGCACTGCAAAGGATATTCACAGGGTGTCTAAGTCTGGGCTTTTTACTGCCCTGCCCATTCGTGGTGAACTTCGCCTTCTCTCCACTGTTCAAGAAACAGCATGGGACTCCAACATGCTTTTTTTTTTTTAAAGTTATTTAAAATTTAATTGCATCTTTCTATGTATTAGAAAACATGCCTGAAATTTTTATTTCCCGTATATTTTATTTTTCTTTTTTATCCAAGATAAGAACTCAAACTCAGTGTCTGATGCTTATCTTTCACTGACAGGCACCTCCATCTCCATTATATTTTATTACAGTTAAAACATTAATGTAAAAATATTACCTATTTTACACATGAGGATATTAGAGGCTCTTCCTAAGAGTGAAATTAACCCATCCTTGCTCAGTCTATTTGCAAACATAAGAGTTTCAGTCAAAATCAGTCCCATAATACTCTGTAAATTAAATGATGGGCAGTGAATGTATTTGTTGAGTGTGTGTGTGTGTGTGTGTGTGTGTGTGTGTGTGTGTGTGTGTTTGAGTTAATAACCAATAACTTTAAGAAATTTACTATTATACATATAATAAGATGAATAGCAATACTGGATTCATATTCCCTGACTTCCACAAGGTGAAGGATCCAGGTAAAATTGGCTCTTTTGCAGAATGTCTTTCCTGTTCTCTAAATACTAATACTATTAGCTCAAGAAAAAGTATCTCTATTTCAATGAATCCATTCATATTGCTGAGGATCACATCTCTACTAAAAAGAAAGGCTGCTGAAAAACACACTGTAAAAAGAAGTAAAAATTCATCACACACACCCACACATGAGAATTATATTGTCTGTTTTTTTTCTTCTCTTGTCTCCAATTAACTACCCCAAAACAGGTGAACTGTGGCTCATGTGGTACAGTACTAGCCATGAGCAAAAAAGCTCAGGGACAGTAGGCTCTGAGTTAAAGTCCCAGAACTGGCAGAAAAAGAAAAAAAACAGACACTAAATCTTCCCAGTGTGCTTTTTAGTCTGCCCTGCCACAGGGCGTGAAGGGGCAGCCGAGGAGCCTGGGGTCTGCTGCAGGATGTGTGAGGTTGGGACAGTCAAGAGGTTTTGCTCTCCTTGGTCAGCCCAGGTACCCAGGTGACTGTAGCAGCCATTGAATGCTCTGAGTAGGGCTGGGACAGCCTTCCTTCCTGACGCCCCCAGGCGGAGTGAGGTGCGAGGAAGCAATGAAGGGCCACCCCAGCCAGTGTGTGTGCAGAGGGGCCATGAGACGGGCCGGGGGAACACGGCAGGCTCTCACTCTGCTTCCTTCCCGTTGTGGATTAAGTGAACTGCCACCTGCCCCTGCTGTAGCTGAAGTTAACAGCATTCCATGATGAGCTGTCTCCTGCCAGTTCTAGTTCTGATGGGCACACTTGCCTTGCACTTGGGCACACTCCCCTTCCTGTACAGCTTTACATCCTTTCCACCTGGTAATATCATCCTGGGTGTCTTTTTTGGTGTCCCATTGGCATTACCATATTGTTGATGTTAATCATGGCATGGCAGTGATATGTTTATTTCCTTAGACCATATTCCTAAAAGTGAAATCAAAAAACAAAACACTACCACCATGCATTTAAAAGGAGGGGACAAATCAGATCCATAATTTTTATTGCTTTATTGTTTTTAGTGTTTATCTGGTAATCACTTGTGCACAGGTTTCCAGGAGGATTTGCCAGGACATGTTGTAGTTAGAGACAGGGCCATGCAGGAGCAGCTCCAGAGAGGGGCCACCGTGGCTGTCCGGGGCCAGGTGACACCAAGGGTTGGAATGGGACAATTAGAAAGCCAGAGACAGTTCCAGTGGCTTCCAGCAGCTGTCAGTCAGGGAGGGCAGGTAAACATGATTGCTTTAGAGCTAGGCCAGGCTCTGGACTTGGTGTTTGGAGGGAGCAAGAGGGGCTGGGAAGGAGATGAGGACAGAGGGGCAGGGACTGTGCCCATGCTCACAGTCACTGTCTGCAGCATAAGCCAACAGCAGGCCTGTTTGGCTCCAGGAGCAGTAGGTAGAAGGTTTTCAAGTGGGCGTAGGGCAGAGACAGCTGCTGGGGGTGTTAGAGGGCTTAGGATGGCTTGGGGGACAGTGTGGTCATCAGGAGACTAAGTCTTCCCCTTCTGCCCAGACCAACAAGGGGAGGCATTTGCCCTCAGCATTTTCCTGAAGCCATGCGATCTGGGGCAAGTGCAATTACTACTTGGCACAATGTCTTCATAGTTCATGAAGGCTAAGTTCTTAGAAGCACATCTACTCACTCTGGGGACCTGAGCGGGTTGGGGGACAAGGGCCTCCATCCTGCCGTCCTCCTTCTGATCGTGATCTAGAGTGACACGTGGCTGTGTTCTTGGGCTTGGGTGGGCTGGTAGGTTTGGATGAGGCTCCTGCTGGGGTTGGCAGAGCCAACCCAAGCCCGTTCTGGCCCTGTATGCAGTCAGATTTGAGTCCAGCTCTGAGTATTCAGACCAGACTCTTGAACTTTTCAGCAGACTGGTCGGTCATATGTGTGCCTCTGGGAAGTCTTGGCCAGATGAGACATTGTAAGAAGGCCACCAAACCAGATGTGAAAGTCTGGACAGCTGGTCAGAGAACTGGAAAGCACGGCAGCCTCCCACGGGACCCAGCTACTCCAGCAGCCGGGAGGCAGTCCGGCCCAGTGCACAGGGCCAGGCCTCTGGGTGTGCCCAGGGGCCTTTCCACTATCTCCTGCGTCTTCAGTAGCACTGGGGGCCTCAGATGCCCTGGCTGGCATTCCTGCATCTTATCCCACACAGTAAAATGAAGGTTTCGTGTGTAGTGAGCAGTAATGGAAGTTGCTTTCTTTTGAATTGTTTTAGGGCGAGCATAGTAAATGTGACCTTCCACAAGTCAGCCATCTGGCTTTTGTGTTCACTGGTCTTTTGTTGTGAAAATATTAATAAGTGTTTAAGAAGGGCTTAACTTTCTGGTGTATGAAATCATTTTGAAATTTAAGAGCTATGAACTGGATAGTGGGTGCATCCTGAAAGGCATATTCTTCCTGGAGGGGGCCTTCCTGGAGCCAGAGCTGTACAAAGCTCAGGGGTGGGGGGTGAGGGTGGGGGGTGCAGCAGCAAAACTGAATAGCAGACTGGGTTTCATGTTCTCTGCTTTGGAACCACAGCCCTGTGCTTCTGGCTATGTTCTCTGAGGCCACAGAACCCACAAGGCCAGGGGCCGGCCACCCGAGCGTGGCCAGCCTCACTGTGCTGTCTCCAGCCACTGTCTCTCACCTGCAGACTCTGCGTGTAGCAGTGCTCCTGGCTCCGGACCCAGCTCGCCCAATAGCAGCTCTGGCAATGTCAGCACTGAGAACGGCATCGCACCCGCAGTGCCCAGCGTCCCAGCTGAGGTCAGTGCACCCAGGAGCAGTCACGGGGACTGCCATTAGCCACAGCGTCCAATCAGGATGTGGGGGGGTGGAGGGAGCAGTCACTCTGGAGAGCGGGGGGGGGGGGGGAGGGGGGAGCAGGGGGGAGCAGTCACTCTGGAGACAGTCTTATAGGCTGTTGTCCTTCCTTTTCCCCTCCCCTCCCCTCCGTCTTCCTGAGAAGTAATGGGCTTAGACCCAAGATGTCAGGGAGCCTCCAGCCTGTCTTGCCACCACCTCTTCCTAACTTGTCACTGGAGAGGGCCTCCCCGCGTCTCTCTGTGCCAGGCACCCTGGGTAGGCAGTGTGACTGGGAATGCTTTGAGAGTGAGAGAGAATCGATGCGTTAGGTATAGAAGAAGACACAAATGGAAAGGTGGGCCACAACCAAGTGTTGGAGAAACAAGTTGTCATGCCAGCCGAAACAGAAGGAAAGAGGGGAGCCAGGAGCCTTAGGCCCTGGGGCTACATTCCCTGTACCTCGGGGAGCAGGGAGTGAAGGGCTGCGGCAGTCGGGAGGGACCTAGCAAACAGGAATGATGTCTAAAGGCTCTGGAACCGACTTGTGAGCATAATTTCATGACACCGGAGCCTAGTGAGAGAAGCGCTTTTCCCAGAAACTCTCTAGTGACGGCTTGTTCCCTGTGTATATAACCCATGGTTTAGACACACACGCCACACAGGTTACGTGTGTGTGACAAATCCAAAGGCTCTCCTGGGGAAGAAGGCAGTAGCTCCCTGCTCCAATTGTCAGCAGCATTGCAAAGAGACATGAGCTGCTAGGCTGTGGCTGCCACCTACCTAGCCAGAGCCAAACATTCACTTGGAACAATGTTCACCTCATACTTTTGTTTCTCTTCGAAATGAAATGTAGAAGCATGAAATGCTTCTGGGCCTCAGTGGTACAAGCCCACTGTGAGCAGAACAGGGAGAACCGGGTTCTGTGTCTGCTGCCAGCCTGACTCTGTGCAGGTCCTCCCTGCAGCACGTCCTCTCGTTCTGCTTGCGGTGTGTGTTCATCAAGTGTCCACCGTGTAGGGATAATGGTGAGTGAAGCACTGTCTATCTGAGCCAGGCCTGTCTACTCTGAAAATAAGAAGGCGTGGACAGCGCGGTGGCTCCATCCTCAGTGTCCTACCAGCCTGTACCGCTGCCCTTCTGACCCAGCTCAAACCTGAGTAGACTGAGCTCTGGTTAGAAAGTCAGTGATGCCACAACTTAACAGTGTGTCATGTGAGTGGCTAGCGGTCATCATTAGAATGTTTCCTGAGCCCCCTGTGGGTGCCAGGGTATAAATGTCGCTGTGTTCCTTTAACTCCGGTGTGGTTGCAGAGGTCACAAGTTGCTGTGCTGCATCTCCCTTCCATGTGTTGGGTTCATTACTCTGGGACTGGCCTGAGCATTGGTTAAATCAGCTTCTTTTTTAGGACTTGCAACACAGATTATTACCAAGTTATCTTGCAGAACATGAATCAGTATGTATTTCTGCTTTCCTAGGCCAGTATGTTGTCATTTTAAAGAGTCTGCCAAGTTGATGAGGCATAGATCTATGGGTCTCGGATGCTGGGCGGCGCTGTTTGCTCCCCTTCATGAACATCCTTCATTTGTCATGACTCCTGTGTGCCTTCCCTCAGAAGTCACCGTGCTTTAATTTGTGAGCATATTAACCCTTGCCAAGGTTGCAGTCACCTAGGTGCCTTCCACGAGAGCAGAAGTTGTTCCGTTCTGTCCATAACTGCTTTTAGTTTCTGCTTTTGATGTCAGGTTTGGGAAGATACACCCGGCTACAGAGACACTTCGATGTGTGTACTATCCTGGATTCTCTTTTGATAGTTTTAAGTTGAATAGAATTAAGGTGGCATTGGACAAGGTGACCAGAGAACTCAGGCTAACAGGAATGGTCCCACGCCCCTGAGTTGTGTCCTGGTGCATCTGGCGAGGTGTGGAGCCGCGCCCCGCCCCTACTGGCCACAGTTGGTTCAGCTTGATTTTTGCACCGAGTCGCCCACCTGCCAGCGCGCGGCCCCTGCCGTCCCCCGGGCTCAGCCGTGGCTGTGTGTGACACCTGCGGGGTTTCTGTCTGCAGACCAGCTTGGCGCACAGGCTCGTGACTCGAGAAGGCTCTGCCGCCCCTCTCCCTCTCTACACGTCGCCATCCTTGCCCAATATCACCTTAGGACTTCCTGCCACCGGCCCCTCTGCGGTAAGTTGGCCCCCGGGGGTCTGGGTGGCCGGGGAGGCTGTCGTGGGCTCTCAGCCCATGCACTCTGCTGTGCCTTTCAGGGCACAGCGAGCCAGCCGGATGCGGAGAGGCTCGCCCTCCCAGCCCTGCAGCAGCGGATCTCCCTGTTCCCCGGCACCCACCTGGCCCCGTTCCTGAGCGCCTCGCCCCTGGAGCGGGAGGGCGGAGCGCCTCACAGCCCTCTGCTGCAGCACATGGTCCTGCTGGAGCCGCCGCCCGCGCAGACACCCCTCGTCACAGGTGAGAGCCCGGGCCGCCTGGCCGCGGCACCTGCCTGACCTGTCCTGTGTTGGCCGGCCCCTCCGCCCTGGGTGAGGCTACGCTGACCCTGGCAGGTGTTCAGCTCACCAGCAGTGAGACGTCTGGCAGAGGTGCACCTTCTGGGGGTAGTTATAGAGCAGAATAACAACCTAGAGGAAATATTAGGAGGGCTGCCTGGCGACCGGGGGGGGGGGGGGGGGGAAGGGGGGGGCGGGGGGGCCGGCTTAGCAGTGGCAGGGCGTGCTGGGCTTGTGATGAGATGCAGAGGGCTGCCTGGCGACGGGGGGGGGGGGGGGGGGTCGGCTCAGCAGTGGCAGGGCGTGCTGGGCTTGTGATGAGATGCGGGCAGGGGCCGCCCCGGGTCGTCATGCCCGCCTCCCAGCTCTGGCCCAGGGGTCGCTTCCTGAACGTCTGCTGATTCACTCGAAGGTCAGCAGCCCAAGAGTCTGGAGCCGGCCTTGTGTCACCCTGACATCTACCTTGGTCACACTCGGTGTGTGGTCTGGTGTGGAACCCGGATTACAGATGTGTGTGTGTGTGTGTGTGTGTGTGTGTGTGTGTGTGTGTGTGTGTTTGAGCTTGGTTTTGTGTTCCTGTCTCAGGCTTCTGTCTTCCTTGAACACTTAGCTGTTCTCAGGCACTGATCTGTACAGGAATGTTGTGTTGGCGCCAGGCACTGGCTGAAGCATTGGGGGCACCTCCATGTCCCAGCCCCTACCTGCACTCAGCCTCGCTTTATCTCGCTTTATCAGATGTCTGAGGTTAACTCACTCGGACCTCGGGAAGATGTTTATTGTCTGTGGGCCTCATTTTTCCAGCTGTGGATAGGGTGCTGGCATGGAGAATGACGAGGCTGAAGGCTGTGGGTCTCCTGGTGGCGGCAGTGGACTCTAGCCTTTCACTTCCATGCTTCCCTTCCTGGAGCAGCCTTCTCCCTCCCTGCCGCGTGGCCTGTGTCTGGGATCTCACCGGGTCCTTCTGTTCTCCTGAGGGAAGTAGCTTCCTGAGTAGGATTTCTCCTTCCCACGTCTGTCCTTAGCACCGTTCTCAGAGCCCAAGCTGCCTGTCAGCTAGGGCAGGGCTAGGGATGTTTATTCTGCCAGGGGCCATTTGGATATTGATAACATCATTTATGAGCCACATGAAATTACCAACTCAAGCAGCTGACAAGAAATGTACATAACTGTCCCTCCATACACTAAGTGATCTCATGGACTTTGTATGGCCCTGGCCCCAGACATTCCCCACCCCAGATGCAGAGCGGTAGATCCAGTGCAGAAGCCACCAGCCATAGGAGTGCTCAACTCAGAGCAGAAATACAGTGCTCTCCAGCATGAAGTAGCACCTCAGAAGCTCCTGTGACTGCAGCTCCCAGTAAACAGCTCCCTAGCACGCTGCCCATGGCACTGACCTGGCATCCAGACCCAGCTCCCTAGCACGCTGCCCACAGCACTGCCCTGGCATCCAGACCCAGCTCCCTAGCACGCTGTCTACTGCACTGCCCTGGCATCCAGACCCAGCTCCCTAGCATGCTGCCCACAGCACTGACCTGGCATCCAGACCCGGCTCCCTAGCATGCTGCCCACAGCACTGACCTGGCATCCAGACCTTGCTCCCTAGCATGCTGCCCACAGCACTGACGTGGCATCCAGACCTGGCTCCCTAGCATGCTGCCCACAGCATTGAACTGGCATCCAGACCTTGCTCCCTAGCATGCTGCCCACAGCACTGACGTGGCATCCAGACCCGGCTCCCTAGCATGCTGCCCACAGCACTGACCTGGCATCCAGACCTTGCTCCCTAGCATGCTGCCCACAGCACTGACGTGGCATCCAGACCTGGCTCCCTAGCATGCTGCCCACAGCATTGAACTGGCATCCAGACCTTGCTCCCTAGCATGCCACCCACAGCACTGACCTGGCATCCAGACCCAGCTCCTTAGCATGGGCAGCAGTCTTGTACTGAGGGCCTCCTCCCCTCCTCCTTGCCTAGTACCCAGGACAGGCCAGCCAGAGGGGCATGTGGAATACCCTTTTCTAAAGCCCTGGTCCTACCTCAGGCTTACCAGCTCTGCGCCCTGTTCCAAAGCCGCCATCCTCTACCATCACAAGCTGCGTCATATCTGCTCTGCTAGCCTGGCTCTGCCTTCAGCTGCCAGCTCCCTCCCCTGGGGAAGACTGGCTTCCTTCCACTTGCTGTCCTCCCTTCCACTCCCAGCACCCACTCACATTTGGCACACAGTGAAGTTTCCTGCTCAGGGAAGCCGAGGTCTCGGAGGTGGCTGTGCAGTGTATCTCTGCACACTACAGGCTGGCCGCGCTGGTGCTGGTGTGGGGGCCTGTGCATACGGAACTGAAAACAGGCCACTGTGGAGGACATGCTGGTCCCCAGGAGGGCTGTGGTCTGATGCCCTGGTGCTGCCTCCTCAGGGAGGGTCCCCGGTGGGCTCCAGAGACCTGATCTCAGTGGCTTCCAGATTGGCCTGTGTCCTCCCGAAGCCCAGCCATGGGCTCACATCCACCATTAGCAAGATGGCTGTGGCACAGTGAGAAAGGGCACCTGCGCTGGCAGGTGCACACCACGGTCCCCATAGCTTACTCAACAGCCTCCCGCCCCTCCCGCCTTCCTGTCCCCTCTGCTGTGTGTTCCTCCACATTATCCTCAGACTGCTATCTTTCAGGCCTGGGGGCGTTGCCCCTCCACGCACAGTCCCTGGTCAGTGCAGACCGCCTGTCCCCGTCTATGCACAAGCTGCGGCAGCACCGCCCCCTGGGGCGCACACAGTCGGCGCCCCTGCCCCAGAGCGCGCAGGCTCTGCAGCACCTGGTCATCCAGCAGCAGCACCAGCAGTTCCTGGAGAAGCACAAGCAGCAGTTCCAGCAGCAGCAGCTGCACCTCAGCAAGGTGGGTCTGTGCGCTCGCCCCTCTGCCCACTGACCTGGAGCCAAGAGCACGTGAGTGAGCTAAGTCTGCACCCAGAAAGGTGCTCACCTCACTCCCTGCCCACTGTATGCCCAGAAGGATGGAAAGGAGAAATAACTTAAGACCATACTCTGGCGCCAAGTTCAGAACCTGGGAAGGTGTGGTGCTATGCAGAGCAGGGTGCTGCAGGCAGCCCGAGTCCCACAGCCCCACCCTAGCCCCTGGCGCACACGAGCCCAGCCTGGCCACCTGCGCAGGAAGTCTTTGCAGGTATGAGCAGCTCTCCCTTCTCGAGTTTCCGAAGGTCATTTACCATTATAGATCTTTAAGCAAACACCTGTTCAAGTCCCCAACCTTACAGTGGTATTAGGTCTCCGGGTGACTTTCCAAGTCACCTGGCACTTTTAACTCCTTACCTGTTGGAGACACATAGTAATGATTTTGGGCCCAACTCTCTTGCAGAGGCCCATGTGTGCACAGAATTTTCCCATCACTCAGATCCATTTCAAGAGGAAGCAGTAGGAAAGGTTAGTGTTACGGTGCTGGCTGATAGGAAAACCAAGTCACTCCCTGAGTTTGGATCCAATACTGGCCTCTGAAGTGAAGCATTTTTAGTATAAAGATCGGATAAACCATGGTGAAAACAGCCCAGAGTTCCTTGGGAACTGTCCCATAACCCAAGAGAGATGGAAACGATTCTTCACAGACATGGACCACCGGCCCCACCCAGCTTCTATCCAGTAATGAAGGCCTGAGCGGCACATGGCAGAGCGTACCTGGCAGGGGTGGAAGCATTACACCTAGAGAAGTAAGAGTCACAAAGACCACAGGCCACATGGCGTCAGTCATGTGAAATGCCCAATGTAGGCAAATCCTAGGTGCTGTGGGAGACAGGGAACACTGCCGGTGAGTGCAGCATTTATTTTTACAGTATTCTGGATTATAGTGGTGGCTTCACAGCTCTACAAATAAACCAAAAACTGAAATCACCCAACTTATGAGTGAGTTTTATGATTTGTGAATATAATAATCCTTCCTCATCCATAGTAGGGCTTAGTGGTTGCCTAAAACAGTAGATAGTACAGAGCCCCATACACACTCCATCGCACTGGAACAGTCCGACACAGCACAAGGAACCCCGCACACGCGCGTGCGGACACACACACACCACCACACCGGAGCAGCGTAACACAGCACAAAGCCCCACACACATACACCACCGCACCGGAGCAGCCCAGCTCAGCACAAAGGGTACTGAGCACCATATGGAGACTGCATAAAGGCTAGAACAAGTACTGTGTGGGACAGAGTCAGTGGGTTCAAAATCTCTCACTATGCAGAAAGGTGTAGGTCAAAACTTACAAATCGTTTATTATTTCTGAACTGTGCTGTTCAGTAAGTTGAAGCTTCTGTTGACTGGAAAACATGGAGAGTAAGGAAGATGACTGTATTCTTCAATAAAGCTGTTACAAGAGAGCACAGGAGGCTGGAAAGATAGAAAGGGACCTCTGGTTTTCTGAAGGAGCAGGATTTTTCTGCTGTCTTTCCTCTGAGGGCTCCCCACTTTAGCCATACTGCAGAGAGCCCTTCTCCCAGCCCCACTCCCAATCACGTGTGTCCTGTCTGTCATCAGGTTCCAGGCCTTCTGTTATCTCCCTGAGGAATGGAAAGCTTGGGGAGGGGCAGCAGGGAGGGTCTCTCCTGACTGGTCAGATGCAGGGGCAGAGCCTTGAGAGAGACCCCTCCCCTATTCTGACCACACACTTGAGGGGAACATGGCTGGCCACATGGTACCATCCGTCCCTCCTGCTTGGTCCTGGTTTCCTCCGCAAGACCCATCTCTATCCAAGAAGAACCTGCAGAGCCCTCGGTGTTGCCGAAGGCTTGATAGGGACTCCCAGGATGGGGCTGCCCTCAAGATGGGGACAGCACCTGTGAACATCTACCTGCTGTGCTTCCCCATGTTGGCTGGAAGGTTCCAGACAAAGGAGCCCTCTGACCACAGACCAGGGGTCTGCAGAGGCTCAGCCAAGTCCCCTCTACCTACCAGGCACTGCACCCTGGGCCCCTCCCTCACCCCCATCCACTGCATTTGGAAGGGAGGGGTGCCGAACATCTCCTCGACTGCACTTGTGGGGGTGAAGCAGCTATCTGCCAAGGATCTGTACTCCCAGGTGACAGAAGCACTTTCTAATGTCAGACAAGCCTTGTTAATTTCACATGTCACAATCAGTGATATGGTAGGAGGCTTGAGGAAGACAGGAAACACCCTTCTTGTGTGGCATGTTCTTAAAAAGAATGATTTAGGAACCAGGTAATCTCACTGGATTTTGGTACATGATTGATTTATGGTAGCAAATGACACTTGATTGAAGGGTTTATACAATGTTTTCCCAGGGCGCTGGGAAGATGGCAGCAATGTTCTGCGCTGGTCTCTGGGCCTGCTTCCTGAGGGTGGTTGGTGGTGCCAGCCCTCCGTGGAGATGTCAGTCAGACTCCTGGCCTACTGCTCAGTCAGCCTGTCTTAGGCCATCGGTACCCCGAAAATGTCAGTACAGCAGAAAGGCTGCCCATCCTTGGTCCCCAGCAGCCTTCCTGGCCATTCTAGCTGTCTTGAGGTGAACAGCCTGGAGAAAGGCCAGCTTGGATGACACCCCTCAAGGGACAGAGCAGGCCCACCAGGCTGCTCCCTTGTTTCCTTGGGGGCTGGGGCCCTTGTGTTCGCAGTCCCCCCAGCTCGGATGTAGGCCCTGCACGGGCCTGCTTCAAGGCTGTGGGGGATGGGAGCCTTCTGAGGAAAGTGCCGTCCAGAGGCCCCACAGCCCTCGGCGCCACAGCCTGTTGGGTACATGGGACTTTTCCTTCTGAACGGGGAGGTGGAAGGCATATCTACTGTGACGGGTAGGCGGTTCCCCCAGCTCTGCAGCCCATGATCACAGAGCTCGAGCGTGGGCTGTGCCCCTCGGGTGGCTCCGCTGCCCTCAGTGTAGCAACCTGAAAATCAGGCTACGTGGGGTGGTTGAATTAGGAGTGTCCAGTGTATAAGTGCTGGCGTGCTTGCTGGTGCCTTCTGGCCCTGAATGCTGGTCTCACTTTTTGAAACGTTATTGTTCTGGACGTGGAGGTGCGTTTGCTTTTACTTGGTAGAGATAGGCGAGCTGATGTGTTGGTGAGGTGCTGGCCTCTTTGCCCCATTGCCTGCTGCTAGCTTTACTGCCTGAGCCAGCTCTGCTGCCAGGTTCCAGCCATAGTCCAGCCATAGCCCAGCCATAGAGCAACAGCACTATATTCCAAAGAGAGGGGGGCTTTGTTTGTGACCAGCAGTGCCAGAGGCTGGCTGTGGCAGTGCCCGCGGCAGCACTGGCAGCGTGGCCCTGGACTGAGGGCCGTGGGCCTGGTAGGCATCACTGACAGGCCTTTGATGTGGTAGCCCTGCTGCCGTGGCGACGACCCTCCTGGGCACCTGTAGAGGGAGGCCTAGCAGATCTGCTCTGCCTGCCACGGGAGCCTCTGGACCCCTAGGACATGACCCATGCGCCAGGCCTCCCCCATCCCCCAATGCTCGGCCCTGTGGTCTGGACTTGTCTTCCTGTTTTTAGCTCTGTGGCCTGGGGTCTGTTTCTCTGCCATTACCCAATCCCTGCGTTTGCAGCCTGTTGACACTTGTGCCCTCAAACTCCTTAGACATCTCAGCCAGGCACTGATGGCTCACACCTGTGATCCTAGTCCTCAAGGAGACTGAGATCTAAAGGATCATGGTTCAAAGCCAGCCTGGGCAGAAAAGTCCATGTGACTTCATCTCCAACTCATTAGCAAAACATTAGCCTAGAAGCTTGGCTCAAGTGATAGAGTGCTAACTATATGCAGTAAGCCAAACAAGAGCTTGAGCCCCTGAGCTCAAGCCCCAGAAATCTCTTCTCCTGAAGACCCAAGTTCATCTTCCTCCCACCTGGGCTGCCCTCGTTCCTCCTCCTGTATTGTGCCAACCTCTGGGTCACAACTTCCCACAGCCATCTGAGTGCCTTCTAAGCTGCGTCCTCCAGGTTCTTTCAGAATTCTCCCTCCTGTGTGCCTGTGCTGCGCTTTGCCAGCCCCCAGAACCTCTCAGCCTACGACCAATCAGACCGCCCCGGACGACGCAGGACAAGAGGCACCAGTGGCCCCCAGGCAGGCATCCTCAAGCCCATGACCTGGCTGCCTGAGCCAGGCTCAAGTCAACCCAGAAGGCCTGAGACCCAGTGCCCCAGCTGCCCTGTCCCACAGGCTCTTCTTGCCAGGCCAAGATTCGAGGGCTCGGGGGTGTAAATGCCATCAAGTGACATGGTTATTTAGAAACTTCTGGTAGGAAAGCCAGAGTGAGGCGCCTGTCCTGGCAGCCAGGTGGAAGGCTGGGGGCGGGCTGGTGTGAAGGAACTCGGTTTTATTAGCTTGTGTTGAGGGTGTCTGAGATTGGGTGATGACGTGGCACAGTTCCAACGTGAGAACATCTTTGAATCAAGCTAGGTGATACGTTCTTCCAAGGATAGAGCCAGACTCACCAACTTGTAAAGGACTGCTTGTAGCCAGCATCTCCCTACTCCCCCCATGCTGCTTCTCAGCATTTAGAGATGGTCCCTAGCAGTTATTCAGAGACCCATCTTCATAAAGGCCCACCAAAGCCCTGGGGAGCATGGCACCTGCTCCTAGCCTATCTGCTTGTAATTTCCACAGCTCACAAAGCTGGCAGCGGCTCAGCCAGTTGTTGCTCTGGGCACCTTCGTCGGCTCAGGCCTATGGTATCCGCTTCTGTTCCTCTCTTCTGAGCTCTCCCCTGGCTCCCCAGTGTGTCTTGCTGGATGGCCAGCTGGACGAGCGTCGGAGTGCCTCACAGCCGAGGCGATGTGTGTGTGTGGTGCCAGACTCCCTCCGCATTCCCCACTCACTCCTCTGCACCTGAATTCGCATGGGTTTCTCTTCATCTTGTTCCTAGGCCACAAGAAGAGCTTTGTGAAAACCAAGACCAGTCTGCCTCCTCCCCAGGCCAGGTCCCTGGGACCCTGGGCTAGAGCCAGCCATCGTCGTTTTCTTTGCACGGCAGTGTACCTGGGGTCTGGCTTCTGTGGGTAGATGAGTGGTGCCCGCTGGCCGGGGCTCAGGGACACAGCATTCTCTCAGGTTGGCTTTCCTGAAGGACTGACGTTTCTGATATAACCACCTGCCTGAGCTTCATGTCCTCTGCATTGCAGATTATCCCCAAACCAAGTGAGCCAGGTCGGCAGCCTGAAAGCCATCCTGAGGAGACCGAGGAGGAGCTCCGAGAGCACCAGGCCCTGCTGGATGAGCCCTTCCTGGACCGGCCCCCCGGACAGAAGGAGGCCCACCCATTGGCCAGCATCCAGGTGAAGCAGGAACCCATTGAGAGTGACGAAGAGGAGGCGGAGTCTGTGCGGGACGCGGAGCAAGGCCAGCGCCCACCCACTGAGCAGGAACTGCTCTTCAGACAGGTACAGGAAAGCCAGAGCCGCGAGAGCAACACCCTCAGAGGCCTCCCTCTGATCCCATAGGAATGCTTTGCCCGGCTTCCTAGCCTAGCGCACGAGGGAGGGGGCGGGATTGCTTCACACTCCATTCCCAGGTGGTCTGGAGTCCACCCTCTCTGGGTATGCACGTCCTGCAAACCTGGCTCCAGGCTCCTGGGGGCAGTTTTCCCTTGGTCTTGTGAGATTCCACATACTGCTGAAGCTGAGGAGAAAGGTTGGCTTTCTAATTGTCCAAAATGTAGGCAGTCTGATCATGAGCCTGTCCCCTCTAAGGCCACAGAGGTGTGAGTAACTGGCATTGTGGATCCAAAACAGTGTTATGGCTTGGGTGCCCAGAGACAGTAAGATGCAGGCACACAATAACCAAACTCCAAAGGGACTGATGGAAAAATTCAGTAAACGACCTGTTCATTCCAGTTATATATAACGCTGCCAACTCTACAGAATCACTGAAGACAGCTGGCCAATGAGTGAGAAACCCTGACGTAGCAGCCAGAATGCCACAGGGAGGCTGTTTCTGCCCGATGGCCAGGAAGTGAGCCAGCAGTGGAATTTAATTGTACCTTAAGCATGGGACTCTCCGCCTGGGTTTGTCTCGAGGGCACAGGAACCAGTGTGCTGTCCAGCTAAGCACCCCCCCCTCCTCCTCCTCCCCCTCCTCCTCCTCCCCCTCCTCCTCCTCCTCCTCCCCCTCCTCTTCCCCCCCCTTCTCTCCCCCCCTCCCCCCCCTCCCCCCCCCCCCCCCAGCATGTGGATGATGCTGCCTCTCCAGTTCCTGGCTCTTGTAAATCTCAGGACAAGATGACCCTGGTGGTAGTGTTCGCTTCCCTTCCCACCTGACACTGTGCCTGGGTGTGGAACCCTCCCCTGCTGCACCCATGCGGCACAGGCACCAGCTTGGATTCTGCGAGTGCCTTGCTCAGGAGAGGCCACACTGGCGTCCCTAGCAGCTGTCTCCTCCTTCTTGGTTATAGGCAGCCTGTCTGATTCCTAAGGCCATTCAATTAGCACCTCTTACACTAACCTCTGCTTTTCCAAGTCCAGTGGAACTGACAGGATGACCAAAGAAAGCCAGAGTTCCCATGGTCCAACTCAGAGTAATTCATGGCCAGGCCATCCACCTCTGTCTACCACCTCTCCTTGGTGGACAGGCCCCTGGGGGGCAACCTTCACACATCTCGGATAGGCTCTCAAGTCTGTGAAGGAGCAAGCCCCTTACCGTTGTTGTAAGGTAAATTGTCAGCGAGGCCCCATTTTGGAAGATGGGATCTTGGAGTCTTTATTAGGGCACTAGCAGTCAGCAGGCTGCTCATTGTAACAAAGGCCTGCAGCCCACAAATACACTTAACACAGGCCAGAGAGGAAAGAAGGAACAAAAACTATACCAGCAAACCAATTCAGCTCTATTGGAGAGCTGAATTAAGCTGCCACGGTGACTTGGAGACAAGACAGACACAGGAAATGGTCACGGAGACACGTGGCATGGCATCATGGTACCTGTGCTGGGTCAGGTCAGGGGTCAGGTCCACAGGAAATACCCCGTCCCAGGCACTGGACTGACAGGTTCAGCAACCTATCAGCCAAGTATCTGCCCCTGCCTCCAGGGATCCAGGTATGCCTATCACCTTGGGGTAATTTTTTCCCACTAGGAAAACAAGATAACATCTGCATGCCTCTGAAGCAGTATCCTCCTAGCTCACCTTGAGCCAGGCATCTGCACCTCAAAGGATGGCTTATCTCACCTCTAGGCCTTGGAGCTGGGTGGACAGCCGCCCCCCCCCCCCCCATCTCCCGCCTAGGCACCAAGATGGCTGCAAGAAATGATTTAGACTCAGTCTCCTTACTTCACTATCACTGGAATTCGAGGGCTTGTCATCATGTGGATATGTGACTTGTCTTGGTAGCTGATTTCAAGGTTGGTATCTGGTAGAGGCTGCTACGTTGATGGGCATTTACTCAGAGAAAGGCCTGGTAATTCTCCACACAGAAGTCACTTTCTAGGAACCCTTCCTCTGTCTTCTGGAGAATGCCAAGCAGAGCTCCTTAGCGGGATGTGTGTTGGCAGTAGGTAGTTTGCATGGGATGGGACATCTGAGTCTTCAGAACATCAGGCATGGGCTAGACCTGCACGCACACGCGCACACGCACGCGCGCACAGAGTTGATCAGGCCCACTGTGGTCCAGTGAGCTGGCTAGGCGCGTTGTGAGGCAGGCGGGGCTTATAGAAGCCTCTTCTGGGCCCTCCTTCTGGAGGCTCTGTGGCCCCCCTGCCTGGAGCTCCCATGTTCCTGTGCTCACTCCCCTCCTCTCTGCTCTCGGACCATGATTCCTAAGGGCAGGAAGATAGGCCTGGCTGAGACGCTCTCCCGGCACTGTCGGGCGAGGCCCTGCTAATGAACAGCTGAGATTTTTTGTTGGCCTGACCTTCCAAGGGCACAGAATTGGTTTCTCCACACTCAGACAGGACCTGGGTGGGAGGTACTGCTTTCTCCTGTATCGTGGCCGGTCATCGCTGTCTCTCTGTAGCTGTGTAGGTGGCCCTAAGAAGCAGTCACCTCTGGAGGGCCAAGCATCTTCCTGGTCCTCCGTGGCCCCCGCCCACACCACTCTGCCGGCAGATAATCTGTCTCCTGGGTCCCATAAGCGTCCCCAAACCCTGGCCAACGACTTCCACACTCCACTCACCTCCACGTCCCCAAAGGCATTTCCACACACTCGCAGGCATCTGGCCCCTGAGGGCCTGAGCCCCAAGTACACACCTTCATTTCTCCCACAGTCTGTCCTTAGTGAGCGTGGTGGCATGGTCCAGACCGAGCCTGGAGTCAAGCTGGCTCCCCTGCACCTGGGGTTTACTCTGGCTGGCTGCCCGTGCCGGTTGGGCACTCTTGGTCAGAGCTACGGGCAGAGCCTGGCTGCTCCCTACCGACTTCCGCCAGAGTGAGCATTCGGTGTCCCCAGCTGAGGGTCCGAGGTCACCACCCCCTCGGGGCCTGAGTCCTGGATGTATCATTTCACCTGGTCCCAGCTGCTCCTGCGCTCAGCACCTCCTCAGAGGAGCCACCGTGGCCCACTGTGGCAGCCACCTGCTGCCCTCCACGTGGCTCTTGGCGGGAGCTTCCTTCTGGGATGTCAAGTCCTCAGGGATGAGGACTCGTGTGTCACGAGTCTCCTCCCCTCTGCCCCTGCTCCATGTCCTGTCTGTGGCCACGTGCCCTTGTGGCGGGGCTCTAGGGAGCATCCGGGGTCGGATGTGGTCATTTGAGTGACGTGTGCAGGTCTTCAGCACCCACCAACAGTCCACTTCCCCCCACAGCAAGCCCTCCTGTTGGAGCAGCAGCGGATCCACCAGCTGAGGAACTTCCAGGCGTCCATGGAGGCTGCTGGCATTCCCGTGTCGTTCGGCGGCCACAGGCCTCTGTCCCGGGCACAGTCGTCTCCAGCCTCCGCCACCTTCCCCATGTCAGTCCAGGAGCCATCCACCAAGCCAAGGTTCACCACAGGTAACACACAGCCCGCTCAGGCTGCATGGGCCTGCTACGGCAGGCAGGGAGCACTGTCACAGCCAGAGCCCCCGGGGCTCCAGGGCTTGCCGTCCAGAGGCACAGGGCTCCAGGGAGTTCCAGGGCTCACCGTCCAGAGGCACGGGCCCCTGGGGGCTCCAGGGTAGCCGTCCAGAGGCACGGGCCCCCGGGGCTCCAGGGCTTGACGTCCAGAGGCACAGGGCTTCAGGGGGCTCCAGGGCTTGCCGTCCAGAGGCACAGGTCGCCTGGACCCCAAAGCCAGGCTCTGCTGCATGGATCTCTCCCTATTAATGTTATTCCCAGACTCAACACCAGCTCAGCCTGCCTCTCAAGAGAACCATGGTCTCCTGCAGAGAGCAGCCCCCCACCCCCCACGTGCCATGTAGGCTTCAAGGCTCCTCTCCCCGCTTAGCACGAGTGCTCTCGCTCACGCCTGTGTAGATGGCATTGGCACCAACGCCTCCTTGGCGTGCTGCTGTGGTCGGCACACTGGGCATTTGAACACCACGGGAGAGCAGAGCCCTTGGGCCAGGGACCGCTCCCTGCCTCCTCTGCTTCGGCGCCTAAGCCGCCCTCCTGTCAAGTCACCGCAGCTTCCACAAGCCTCATTTGCAGACTTGTTACTCTGCACCCAGCAAATACGTCCGTGTTACCTTCCCAGGCCTCAGAAGGAAACTGTCCATATTGAGGTCATTTTTAGTAGTAATTATTCAGAAATTGAAAACGGTAGAGGGTCACACGGCCAAGCACTCTCACTATAAGGTTGGCCAGTCAATGGTGTTCTTAACAGAATGTAGCTCAGAGCCATGCCAGGACAGTGCTCACTTTCCACATACAAAGAGTCCTTGGGGGCTGGCGAAGGAGACCCTACACATGCTAGTTAGCGGCACAGTAGTAGTTGGTAAGTCACTATCTGCTTGTGTACAGCCAATGTGATGGAACTTGAGGAAACCGGCACTGCCTGGCGCTTCCTGCGGCAGGCCATTGGCAGGGTGGAAGTTTGCAGGTGTATTTCTCAGCAGGGCGGTTGGCTGTCTGTGCGCTTGTTCGTGCCTCACGCCCTCTGGGCCCCTCCCTGCACTCTGCAGCCTCCTGTTGCCTTCCGCTGGCGGCTCTGCCCCGCCTCTGATCTGCAAGCCTGGGCACCCTCGTGGTCTCCGTGCTGCTTTCTCCCGTAACAGTGATGTCAAGCTCACTTGGGTGATTCTGAAGGCAGTTGTATTCCAGTCACCCAGTTCCCCTAAGCAAAGCTGGGCAGTGGAGCTGGAGAGGAGAGAGGCCCTGCCCTCCGCTGGGCTCTCTGGGTCAGTCAGTGCCGGCTTGCGCGTGCACATCCTACAAGTTGGCCTGGGTTTGCTCCCTCCCACACAGGCATCCCAGCTTCTAGAAGCCTCTGATGCAGGCCCTGAGTCCTGGGCTTCTTGGAGCACCATGTGTCTTAAACAGTTTCCAGCCACTGGAGCTGCATAGTGTAGAGGCTGGCCCTGTGCACACAGACCTGCACGCTGCAGGCCACGCTCCTGCTCCCACTCAGACCTCAGGCTGTGACGTCTGACTCCAAGGCACTTTCCTTACACCTGTTTCCCTACAACTTGGGTCTGGTACAACTGCACACCTCCCGGGCAGGGCCACTGATATGGGGGCTGAGCAGCTGGCCGCCCCCACCCCAGCCTCCCTCTGCCTCCATCCATGCCACCTGGCAGGGTGACCTTGGTATGTTTCTAAAGAATTGCCCATTCTCCAGTCTCTACAGGGAGGGGGAAGGGTTTGCCACTGGCCTGGGCAGCGGCCAGACTAAAGCAATGGCCAGCTCAGACCTGGACAGCTTCCCTGACCTGGGCTACTTCCAACCTGTTGCAGGCCTTGTGTATGACACGCTGATGCTAAAGCACCAGTGCACCTGTGGGAACACCAACAGCCACCCTGAGCATGCTGGGAGGATCCAGAGCATCTGGTCCCGCCTGCAGGAGACAGGCCTGCGCAGCAAGTGTGAGGTACGCCGAGCCCGCAGGGGCGGGCGGGCGGGCTGCCGTCACTGCCGGCATCACCATGGCACCAGGGGCCTCAGCATGCTGAGCTCCTGTGCCGGGATAATGGGAGGGACAGGGCCAATGCCCTGGTGACTATGGAGTCCAGGCTGTGTCCTAAGTCAGCATTGGTAAGGTGGTAAGGCCTGGTGTATGTCACAACGTGGCGGAGAAAGAGAAAAGGAGTCTTTCACAAGTAGAAGAGCCAAGGGCATGGGCCGTATTCTTTATAACAACGCCTCTCATGAGAACTAGCCCGGTCACACAAGACCTGAGCTCTGATCCTCCCTGAGCCAGAGCCCTCCTGTCCTGATTGCCTCCCACACGGCCCACCTCTTGCTGAATGAACTCCCAGATTCAGTAACACCATACTGCAGGACAAGCTTCCAGCACCAGGGCCCTTGAGGATGCACTGTCTCCCAACCTCAGCAAAGCCCAGAGTGGCTTTCCACATTCCTTCCTGCGGGAAGCAGTGCTCTGTCCTTTGCCCTTCAATGTTCTGTGTCCGTGCCTTCTTCCCGCTGCTTTGGGGAAGTGTGATCCCCACTGGGCTGCTCTCAGCTGCCCAGGGCAGGCTCCCAGGACCTATGCCCAGGTCTCTTCGGGGATAGTGGGATGCAGAGACTAAGGGACACATTCTCAGATCAGGCCTCCTGGCTTCTTGTTGAGGCCCGTGTTCTCTTGTTCTGATGTTTTGCACAGTTGCTCTGGGAATGTGCATGGAGCCTCAGTCTCAATTCTCCCTCAGTGAGATCCCAAGAGACAGTGGCCAGCATGGACAGCAACATCACAATATCCCAGATTGCTCTGCTTGCTCTGCTTTGAGTCTTAATTCTTCACTCCCTGCCTCTGCCACTGAGGCTTGTGGGAAGGTTCAGCCCTGCTGTGTCTCTCAATACTGACCCTCAGTTTCTCTGACTGCCTGGCAATGGCTGAGCTTATTTCATCTTAGAAGGGCTAGCCACTGTGGGGGCCCAGTCTTCACCCACACCTTCTGGGCAGAAAGAGGCATGTCTGTGAAAGGCCCAGCCAGTGCCTTTCTCCCAGGTCCTGAGTTCTGAGGAGGAAGATGTGTGCTCCAAGCCTTGCTGTAGCGCAGGCACCGAGCAAAGGGCATCTGTGGCCTGGGCCTCATGGCCTGGGCAAGCCTCACTTCCCATCTGGAGCGGAACTGGGCATGCCCAGAGCATCCACCTGCTCTGAAAGCCCGCTGAGCTGGACTGAACAGTCCCTATCTATCCCCCCAGTATTCCTGGCCATCCTGGGCACAGCCTCGGCCGGGCCGGGCACAGCAGGTCTCCCCATGGAGCTGGTGTAGCAGCCTGTCCTGCGGTGCAGAGCACCTCAGTGCTCTGCAGCGTGGTGGTTTCTGAGCTCCAGTGTAAATGCTCTACTCTGCCCTCCCAGGCCGCCAGTATTCAGGACTTCAGGTCAGTGGACATTGCAGGGTGGCCCTGGGCACCTGCTTCTGGATTTTAGCCAATAGCTGTGCCACTGGGGGGCAGCATTGCCCAACAGACACCAGCCACATGAACCGCCTTCCTCGTTCCTGGCCATGCTAGGAGGACCCCATGTCCTGCCCCTTCTGGGAACAGCCCAGGGCACCCCGAAGTTCCCTGCCTTCACACACACCTGCTACTCAGCCACAGCCCTTGCTGGAGGCCAGCTTGAGCAGAGGCCTGGGTAGTGATTTCTCAACCAGAAAGGCACATGGGGCCAGGCAGAGTGTGGGAATACAGAGTTGGAGGAAAAGCAGTGGCTGGTGGGAGGCGACGGTTGAGCAGGGTCTCTGGTGTCACACCTGGACTCGAACACAGCTGGCAGAATCCTAGCAAGCCAGGGCTGTGGCCAGATCCCTCCTGACGTGCTGGGGACAGTCAGAGTCCTTTCAAACATCTGCAGCCCTAGAAGCCGTGTTGGACCACTACCCACGGAAGGGGCTGGGGCTGCGGCTGCCCATTCAGCTTTGGAGTTGAGGGCTCAAACATGACATCCTCTAGGTCCACCTGTCAGGAAGGCAGGGATGGAACAAGAGGGCTCAAGGTCAGATGTACAGAGAGCTGGCTACCATAGGATTAACTCTTTCCTCAAAGCTACAGATTATCTGCTTCAAGGAGCACCCGTCCATGTTTGCGCAGGAACTAGAAGGAGGCAAAGACCATGCCCTGGCATTGCTCCTCCTCACAACCTCATACCGGGAAGTGGGTTCATGCTCTCTTGTGTAGCCCATCTGGTCCCAAAGCTTTGACTAGTTCAGCCTTGTCTTTTCTATCTCTTATACATTTTCAAGCCTAAGTACTTTGATTCTTCCTTTTGTTCTAACTTAAAATCTGTTGCTACACTTGAAACTCTTATCCAGAGACCCAGCGGGCAGAGCAGATGGTCTGGTCTTTCTTCCCTTGCTCCCACCACGTAACCGGCCTCCCTGTCACACGAGGGCCAGACCCCTGCCCTCCCCGTAGCCCCTTTTTTAATTCTTTTTTTTTTCTCCTCCTGGTATTGCAGCTTGAACTCAGGGCCTGGGTGCTATCTCTTAGCTATTTTGGTCAAGGTTTGTGCTCTAGCACTTGAACCATAGCTCCTTCACTTCTGGCTTTTTACTGGTTAATTAGAGATGAATTTCATGAACATTTTTGCTGGGACTGGCTTTAAAGCCTCCCATCTCCATGTCTTGAGTAGCCAGGATTGCAGACTTGAGCCACCGCCACTTGACTCTGTGGTAGCCTCTTACTGTGTGGCCTGATTGCACACTCTGCAGACAGAAGCTGGCACTGGCCAGCCCTAATCAAGAGAAAAGCAGCCCATCAGGAGACTTGCTCCCCAGTCCTCTTCCTCCTGGCCTAGAGTGAAGGTGAGACGAGGTTGTGGAGGGGATCCTGGACTGTGTTCCACAATTAGAAAGCACTGACTCTTTTTTTTTTTTTTTTCTCCCACACAAGATAGTTTGATAGGGAAGAACTGATTTTGTGAAACTGATGATGATGGCCATAAAGAGTAACTCCAGAGTAGCCCTCTTGCTCACTGAGCATCTACTAGGTTACCCCATCTTTCTTTGCCCTGCGTGGGTGAAGCTGATACCCGCCCCGCCGTCCCCCCCCATCTTTCAGAAAAGTGGGGGGCGGGGTGTCCCAGTGGCCTGAGAGCACTTCCAGGCTAGGATTTCGGTGGAGCTCCAGTCCTTGCCACAGTGAGACCTGCAGGTCAGTGGGTGCTAGGCCAGGTAAGTGCGGATCTGTGTGCTGCCCTGTTAACACGGGCAGCCACCGCTGGAGTGCTGAAGCCTCCCTGCCTTACCCTCGTCCGTGACCTCTGGTGCTAGAAATCAGTGTTCCTTTAATGGTTAAGGAAGCGCTCCACCTGCAAAGCAGCACGTTTGCTGTTCACTTCTGAGGGAGGTCTGAAAATAGCCCACAGTTCTTTATGGGAAGACTTGCCAAAGGCTAGAGAAAGGCAGATTCCCAGCCCCCTACGCCACACAGGCCCAGACCCTGACCGCAAGCCAGCCTGCGGTCCAGGATCACCAGACCATGGTGTCCCACTGGCCAACCGTACACGTTCTCCTTACCTGAAGCATAAACCAGCGAGGCGGCTCACCGTGAGCCCTGCTGGAAAGTAGAATTGTGATTGCTGCTAGGGAACGGCCGCACCTTGAAGGCTGAACTGCCTTTGTAAATGTAGAAAGCTGTAATTAAAATGCAAGCCCACGAAAATATTTTATAGTCCTGCACTGGTGCAGCAAGAAGCCAGTAACTGCTCGCCTGCACGTGGATCTGTCCCCTCACGCATTGAGCGGTCTGACGGCACAGTGTGAGCGTGTCTTGCCTTGTGTCCCCGCAGTGCATCCGTGGACGGAAGGCCACGCTGGAGGAGCTGCAGACCGTGCACTCAGAGGCCCACGCACTGCTCTATGGCACAAACCCCCTCAACAGGCAAAAACTGGACAGCAAGAAGCTTCTAGGTATTCAAGACCTTTTACCTCCTTACTGGGTTTGGGCTCGAGCTGCGGCCCCTCAGGCTGTGGGGCTGCGGGCATCACCCTCTGGTGCTGCAGGGCCAGTGGAGAAGGAGGACCCTCTTCCACAGCACCGTGCCAGGCAGTGAGGAGAACCAGTCCCCACCACGGCCGCTAGGATATTTCAGTCTGAAGCCATTGAGTGGGTCCCAGAGGCTGCTCTGGAAAGCTTGGGCACCCCATGTTACCCAGCCTTGCCCTGTTGACAGCTCCTCTCCTGGGCTCCTGTGGCAGAGGCAGAGAGGAGGCCTCAGGAGTCCCAAGCCTGGCCATGACTTCCTTAGGCTCCATGGGGACAGGCTCATGCCAGGAGGTGGCGGCGGCTGTGGCCCTGGCAGGTGCCACTGCCCCTCACTCTCCCCCACCCCCCCCCCCCCCCACACACACACAGAAGACCTTGGCCTTGTGGAAATACATGGTATGTATTTTACTACCTTATCACCGGGGCCTTCAGCAGAGGCCGATGGGCTCTTGACAAGCTCATGAGACCCTGCAGGCTCCCTGGACGCATATCGAGCATTGAGGGTCCACTACATGCTGAACACTAGGGGAGGTAGAGCCCATTGGTACAGACCACTGAGCCCAGGCCTCCTGTGCAGACACCCAGCCTTGTGGCTCCAAGCCTCTCTGAGCAGGGACCACAGACTCAGGGCTGGGTGCCATCAGCTGGCTGGAAGACGGGAAGCCAGACTAGAACCTGTCGCAGTAGCCTCCATCAGGTGGGCTCTTGGTAACCAAAGGCCCCCTGGGTGGGGACCGTGGGTATCCCCCATGGAACCCAACATCTCTAGGTCAGTGTCTGCAAAGAGAAGGAACTGGCAGGCACTCAGGCCTGACCTCAGGGTCCTGAGCAGAAGGGGCAGGATGGTGGCTCCTGAGCACCAAGTCTGCCCCCGACCGGGCCCTCCAGCTAGGCTCGGCACCCCCACATTTATCCCCCCACCAACACTGGCAAGAGACTTCCCAACACACAGCAAATGTTCTGTTTCTGCGATCTGCCTGGGCGAGGGAGCAGCCCAGGCTCTGCACTCAGCAGGAGCAGAGGGCCAGAGGTAGACAGTTCCTGAGGCGGCACAGGCCCACTACGCATCTGGAGACAGACCAAGCACCGTGGCGAGGAAGGGGCCACTGCTTTCCTTTGGGCGTCCTCTGGCAGTCTCCAGCGAAGGAGAGGCTACCTGTGTGTCCCACAAGAGACCAGATCTTTGCCACAGAGTGTGGTGCTGCCACAGCATGGACTCCACAGGGGCTTTTGCTGGATGGCCTCCGGTCAGGCCTGCCAGCATCTCCCCTCAGGATGGTAGTTAGGTGCCTCGCCCAGGCGGCCCTCACTCTGCTGTCTCCAGAAGGTCTATCGTGGCCCAACCCACCACCAAGGGTCCATTGGCCATCCCATACGTGGGATATTCAGCAGGGCAGAGAATAGTTTCCAAGCCGGAGGTAACAGGGCGTAAGTCACCAATGGGAGCATGTTCTAGATGCTTAAGCCAATTTCAAACTAGATTTAAGATGATCAAGACAGAAGTACAAAAATTAGCCATATGTGAACTTGGAGATAAGAAAGGTCCGAGTGTGAGAGCTTGGAGCTTTCTCACCACTGACTGGAGATTGCCTGGCATTCTGGTCCTCAGATCAAAGCCTTCGTTGGCCCCGGCCAGCCCTTGCCATGGTTTGGTTTCTTGGTTGAGGAGTTTACCCTGAATCTTCTGCCCCCATAACAGCTGTCTTGGTGCATCAGCTGTGCCAGCCACGTGGTACTGCAGCCCCACCGGTGTGGGGGGGGGAGCTGTGGAGGTGATGGCCCATTGTGTCCTTTTCTTTCCTGCTGACTTTTGTGCTTTTTTTCATCTGCCCAAAGGGCACTGACGTTCCTTGGTCCATTGCCTTCGTACCACCTGCGATCCATGTTTATACTTTTCAAACATAGTAATAGTTAAGGTATCTCAAATCATGCTGCCATAACCCTAATTAGGTGCTTAAATGCTGCTGTGATTTTTCCTTTTAATTGGATTCACAGGTTGCTATACCATAGGCAAAAAGCCCTTTGTAGTTTGCTGCTCCCACAGGGACACACCAGGAGCACAAACTCTACTGAGTTAGTTTGCAGACACCAGAGAGTGCTGCTCGCTATTCTGGATCCAGGGGTTTGTTTCCTGGTAGCATCTGACACCACACAACCTAGAAAGGGAGCCTGGCCCAGAGCGGCTGCGGACAGTGCAGGTTGGCAGAGCCTGAGCAAGCCAGTGATGAACTGGAAGTGCTCGGGAAGGTCCGTGTCTTTCCCACACCTCCAGAAAAGCCAGCCAACCAGCCGTGAGCAGCCGGTGGGAGTGGGTGTGGTCCTCCAGGCTGGCCTCCAGGTCCCGTTTGCCACCCAGTCCTGGTGGTGGCGGGCAGGCACAAGCCACGGGCGGGCATAGTCGGGGCATTCTCGGGGGCAGGATGCATGGGCAGCTGGTAGATGCACAGTGTAGCGGAACAGCCTCCTATGGAGATAATGAGCAGGATCACCTAAGTACTCAGTTACTGTTGTTTCAGCACAGACGCGGCTGGCTGAGAACCCTCCTGTGGAAAGGTCTGCGTGTGTCACAGGGCCCTCATTTCCAGTGAGCTCACTCAAGTCCTGGCTGTCACCAGGGCCTGTAGTAGGAAGTACAGCTCTCATGCAGGCCCCAGCTGTCCCCTAGGCCTGCTCTCCTGTGCCACCAGGCGGCCCATGCTCTGTGTGCATCTGAGGTTCAGAGCAGGTTTCACAGGACAGAGGGAGTGTGGGCCCTCCAGCTGTGGACACGGCCCTGCCAAGTCCAGGAAGCGGGGTCCCATGCTGCCTGTGGGACCTGTTAGATCAAGCAAACCTGGGACCCTGGCGCACACCAAGTGCCATGGATCCAGGAAGCAACTGGGCTGTGGAGAGCAAGGGGCAGAAAGGACCTGGCTCTTCTGGGCCAGCTCCTGAGGGATGAAAGCCTTGCTGGAGCCTGGACACTCTAGAGGCCAGAATTTAGACTCATGTCCTGCATTCTGCCACTGTTAGGGCCACACAAGGAAAGAGACAGTCCCTACTCTGGGAGCACTTGGTCCAGGGAAAGGGAGTCAGATCTGAGTACTCCGTGATGCAGGAGGGCACAGGCCGCAGCTATGGCCTCCCAGTCAGATGACTAGTGGGGAAGCACGGCTGGTGTCTGGCCCTCCCCACCACAGACCTCATTCCTCCTGTTCCAGCCCTGTTCTCTCCTCCATAGCCGGGGGAGGGTGGGGACAGTGGAGGAGCTGGGTCTCCAGACCTCTGACCCATGCTGGGAGCTGAACTGGCAAGTAGAGTTCCCCAGGGAGCCAAGGCTGGGGTCTGGAAATCGGGTTTTCTATGGAGGCAGCAGGAACACCGAGCACTAGCAGGAGTTCCTCCCCGCCAAGGAAGGGTGACACCCTGGAGAATGGGAGTTGTGGAGCCAGGTAGTGAGGCTGAGGCTGGGCCACCAGGTAGTGAGGCTGAGGCTGGGCCACTGGGTGACATGGAGAGCCGAGCTGCGCACCAGCAGGTCCCACCATGCCACAGAACGCTCCCGAGCCAGTGCTGCCCTTGCCTCTCTTGCCCTGCTTTTTCCTTCCCTGCAGGATCGCTGACACTCCCTCCCTCTCCTCTTCCCCTCCCACTACCCCCCCCCCCCCCCATGGGATCACTGACCTCTCTTTCACCCAGCAGGATCACTGACCTGTCTCTCTGCAGGATCACTGATACCTCTCTCCCTCTCTCCCTCCCTCCCTCCCCCCCTTCTCTCTCCCCCCCCCCCACAAGATCGCTGACACACACACCCCCTCTCTGTCTGTCTTCCCCCTGTGGGATCACTGACCTCTCTCTCTCTCCCTGCAGGATCGCTGACCTCAGTGTTTGTCAGGCTTCCTTGCGGTGGTGTCGGGGTAAGTATTTCTTTAATGTGTAAATAATGTCCTGTTTGTTCTCAGAGTCCCAGTGGTTACAAAAATCACTGCCCTACTCTCCCTGGAATGGGTAATTGCTACCAGGTGTTTTCCATGAACAGGGTTGTGGGCAGAGGTGCCCGTTTGTGGCTTCAAAGCACTGCAAGTCATGAGCGTTTGGATCGCTGGGCTTGGACACCTTTCTCTGGGAAGGTGATCCGGCACGCACAGCACAGGCCTGCTGGGCCGTGGCTCCTGTGCAGCCTGTGTGCAGACTTGTCTCTCTGCTTCTGGGTCTGCAGTGACACTGGTGAAGCACACCCAGGTCCCAGCGCCTCATTGGGCAGGATGTGCTTGTTGTGTGTCCGTTTTTCAATTTGAGGCTCTGGGCAAAGTTCTCCACTCAGGATACTGGTGGGCCATTTGATGTTTGCAAGGCAGCTAGTGGGGCTGCACTGGACTCTCATCCCTTTATTTTCTTTGGAGGAGATGATGTTCTAAGCGAGGCACTTAGGGAAACGGCCAGGCGCACAGGAATGGCAAGGGACAAGTTCCTGGCTGGAGATCCACTCCCATGTGTGCAGGGCCGGCCCAGCCTCCCACAAGCCTCCCCTTGACAGCCAAGGGTCTCCCCTGGCTCGGTCCTGGGATGGAGCGGGGCGGGGCCCTCCCAGGAGAACGGCACATTGCGGAGCGGGCAGAGGCTCTGGCCGATGGGCTGACTGCGTGTTTCCCGTGGCACGTGCACAGGGTTGCCGGAACCGCGCCGTGTGTGTAATCATGGACTGCAAGGTGAAGGCCAGGTCTGGGTTCTGTTATGGAAATGAGACGAAATTGTTTTCTTCCTGAGTCTTTACAGAAATCACTGCTTTGAACATTATCCCATCAGAAAAAGAATAAACGGCGTTTATTCATACCACCGCTGAGCCCTGCAAGAGTTATTTTATTTTGTATTGTAAATAGCCTACAATCTCTTAATTCGGGGCAAATTTTTGGCCAGACTTCAAAAGATTTGGGTTTGCATTACCCTGCAGCCAGCAGACCTGTGCAAGACAGAATTGGTGATTTGCAGAGGACAGCTCAGCGCAGGCTGGGGGCGTGGGGCTTGAGCCCCGCGGCCCCTTGGACCAGCCAGCGCTGCCGCTCACGCTGGGGGCGTGGGGCTTGAGCCCCGCAGCCCCTTGGACCAGCCAGCGCTGCCGCTCACGCTGGGGGCGTGGGGCTTGAGCCCCGCGGCCCCCGTGGACCAGCCAGCGCTGCCGCTCACGCTGGGGGCGTGGGGCTTGAGCCCCGCGGCCCCCGTGGACCAGCCAGCGCTGCCGCTCACGCTGGGGGTGTGGGGCTTGAGCCCCGCAGCCCCTTGGACCAGCCAGCGCTGCCGCTCACGCGGGCACAGATGTACACTGATGGCGCCAGTGGGTACTGCCCAGGCAAGTGAGAGGCGGAACTGTGCTCGCCTTCTCCGTGGACCTCTACCGGGAGGGAAGCTGTGGCCTCGGATCACACGCGGCTACAGCTCCAACCCAGTGTCTTCCAGAAGCAGGGCCAGCCACTAGGGTATCCCATGGAGCAGTCAGGGCACCGAGGCTTCCACAGGAGGAGAAGGCAGCCCCTCTTCAGCGTGAAGCTGTGCAGTGCTGCTTCCAGAGCTTCCAATGCATCCTGTCCTCACAGTTCAATATAGGTTTTTAATGGTTTTGACCTTTTTTGCAAACCATATGAAAGAAACTTCTACTTTGCTTCCCCCCTCCCACTTTATTACAAGTTCTAAATTAGTGAGAATCTGTGTCCTTGAGTCTCCGTGGGCGCCCTCCCCCAGCCCTGCCTGTGAGTGGGGCCCAGGCTCTGCGGGCGCACACACACCCTGCCGTGGCTCCCAGCGCCCCAGCTCAACCCGCGCTTCCACCCCCCCAGGCCCACATGCTCCCCTGCGTCTCCCATGCCCCCCCTGCCTGTTCCTTCAGGAGTCGGGCACCTCTGTGCCTGTCTCGGGCCGTCCTCCAGCACTGTGTGCCCAAGTCAGGATGCAGTGGACTCGACATCTAGGTTCTGGAGCAGCAGGACGGGCTTGTCGGACTGTCGGGGGACACTAACCACCTGCTGTCCTGTGGCAGGGCTGAGGTTGGCCCCTGCTCTCTGCAGGAAGTGCCCAGGAGAGCAGAGCGCCCAGAAGGCCCCACAGACGGGGCCGGTGTTGTCCATCAGCCCCTCCGTGCGTTTGGAAAGGAAGTCATCTCAGTCAAGTCATTTTGGCTTCCAGGGTGCAGCCTCAGCCTAGCCTGCCTCAAGAGTTGCTGGCCCTGGAGGGCCCGGGCAGCTGATGGAGTCTGTGCTGTAGTGCTGGCAACCTTTGATTTCAGTGAGTCGATTCTCCAGCGGAAGTGACCAGCCAGCTGTTCTGTGCGCACAGTGCTTCCGTAGGTGGCACACGGCGCTATCCCCAGCTGAAGCGGTCATCTCAGCGCTTTGGGAACAGTGAGCACGGTCGACACTAGTTGGTTCTTTGGACATTTGGAAGCTATTTAAAGAATGTTGAGGTTTGATCACTGGAGAGAATAACCCTCACTGCATATCCCTTCTAGGAATTTCTTTAGCTTATCAAAGAATCTTAAATCATCAGGCAGTGGGGAGGTCCGTGCCTCCCCACAGAGTGTCTGTCAGGCCTGGGCAGGTGGCTCCCGCTGGAGTTTCAAAGCAGTCAGTGTTCAGAGGCCATCCGATTGCTTTGTACTGAATGGAACCGCATGGCACGGCCCAGCCAGGCAGGAGCAGCACCTTCCCCCAGGCAGGGCACAAGCCCAGGTCTGAGGTGGCTCACTAGACTTTCTGCCCAAGGAATACTTGGAATAGCTGCTCAGTGCTTGGGTCTGGCTCCCACCGAGGGCTGCTCTGTAGATGCACACTCCTGTCAGAATCTGTTTTCTGTCTCTCCTGTGAGCTAGGCCTTAAAAATGCATCTTGTGTTGAGCACAGTAGGTGAACTTGTTGGCCCGTTTACCCTTCGCATTGGAAGTTGGCAATAGGAGGACCCCCAACCCCAGGGAGAGCTCCTGCTTAGGCTCCAGTCCCATTTAAGCACAGCTGGTAATAGCAAGAGCTTCCGTGAGTACAGAAGCCCTGGTCTGAAGAGACCACTGTTTAACCGCTCTGGCGCGCCATCTTCCTGGCTAGCATGCTCTCCTGACTACACTTGCAGGTCAACAGAAAGGCACTCCGCACCCGTGGTGTCCTTAGTTCTACCTCCCAGTGGAGGCAACCGGAGGAGAAAGGCTACTCATTTACTCTTCTGTTTGTATTTGTATGTTCCGGTGCATGTTAAAGAACGTGATGAGCTCCAGAGTAAGCTGTCTGCCCTGGTGAAAGGCCACGCTCTGGCAGGCCCAGAGCAGAGCCAGTCTTGGGACTTTGGCAGCCCCTCAGGATGTGGCTCTGGGATTGTTGTCTCTACAGGTGGACAGCGACACCATATGGAATGAGGTGCACTCATCAGGGGCGGCCCGCCTCGCAGTGGGGTGCGTGGTGGAGTTGGTCTTCAAGGTGGTTACAGGGGAGTTGAAGGTCAGTCAGAGCCTGGCAGGGCCGGGTCCCCAGGGGAGGGCGGCCTGTAGTGACCACCCTCTCCCCCCCACACCCCCCACCTTGTGACCACGCTCAGTCGGGACTGGTGGGAGGCAGCTCACATCAAGACAAGTCCTGGATGCTCTTCATGCAGTGGGAATATTGTTCAGGTCACAGGTTTGGGCCTGGGAGCTGTTTGTCCTCTTCACAATCCTTAAGACACCCAAAGGGCTTCGGTTCACTGACTTAGCTCATCTGATTAACCATATATTTTTTAAGTATTCATTTTAAAGTAACAGTGATAGCTGGCTCAGTGGGTGGCAGCTGGATTTACATGCCTGCCTTTGCATGAATCTGCACCCATACAATGAAATTCACAGAGTGCTCTGTGATGAGAGAGAGAGTTGTCCAGATGCCTGGACATTCTGCTCTGGCTTACACTGGCACTCAGAGGTCTCTCGAGCACTTATTGCACCCAGAAGCCACACCTAGGCTTTTCCCCCTCTATTATACTCAAACCCACTTCCCTTCCTAATGGGTGCACAGACCTCTCCTCACTGCATTGGTCCTGAGCTCTGACACAGCGTGAGTGTCCTATCCAAAGCCGTCACCACACGTAGCTCTTCAGAAGAGCCCTCAAGCGTGGCGAGCTCACGGCGGCAGACACGAGGTTTCCAGACCAGCCGTACACTGAGAGCTCAGGTCCATTGCTGAGGCCTGCTTGTCTATTTTTGAGAAGTGTATCGATTTCCCCAAGCTGGAATGTCTGTGGCTTATGTCTGCCCCTCTCACAAAGGAAATGGATATCCCTGAAAAAAGGAGCTGGCCCAGCTCACAACTGAGAGGGCTGCAGGCTCCTCCACAGGAGACAGGAAAGGAGACCTATGCCCCAGCAGAAGCTGAGCACTCCGGGGAGCTCGCTGCCTCCGGGCACCGAGAGGCCGCTCCATGCATACCTGCGGTGCATACCCTCGCCTCCTGCGGTTCCATGCACCGCTCGCTGCTGCTTAGCACCTGCACTTACCTGCAGACAGCACCTGGAGAGCCGGGGATGGACTGCAAGGGCAGGAGTTAGGACGTAGGATTGCAGTATTGAGTCTGAATGTGCCCAGCCTCACCATTGCCCTGTCCTGAGCCTGCGCCCTGGGGTAGCCTGCTCCCTGGGGTAGCTCACTGCACCCCGGTGGGGTCCTTCGTGGTTGGCCAGCCCCTCTGAGCTCCATGACAGCCTCCTAGTTTGCCTATTGTATTGCCGTATTATGGTGTCTTCAAGGCATGAATAATGGGGGAGGGGGGGGTGCAGCTATGCAGATACTAGTCCCCAAGCATTTCTTCATGGGAATGGTAGTGCAGGCTCCATGGGTGTCCACCCCCGGGAGGTGAGCTGGAAGGAGGGCAGGGCGTGGTGCAGGCCACAGTGTCCACCCCCGGGAGGTGAGCTGGAAGGAGGCAGGGGCTGGTGCAGGCCACAGTGTCCATCCCCGGGAGGTGAGCTGGAAGGAGGCAGGGGCCGGTGCAGACCACAATGTCCACCCCCGGGAAGTGAGCTGGAGTGAGGCAGGGATGTGCCCACACTTTATGGAAGGCCGTCCATGTTGGGGGCACCTTCTCTAGTGTCTGAGTTTGGAACGACTTTCTTGTGGGTACAACATGCCCTTTTCACTGTCTCCCACTGTCTGGTGTTCACAGAACGGCTTTGCTGTGGTCCGCCCCCCAGGACATCATGCTGAGGAGAGCACCCCCATGTGAGTGATGGTGGGAAGCGGGGTAGGCTCATCTGGGCCCTCTCAACCCTCCATCCCCCTGCACCCCGAGCCTTGGGCGTGTCGCTGGCTCCTTCCCACAGCTGAGGAGGTCTCTAGCGAAGGGCCCCTGGGTGGATGAGGAGCCCAGGCCGCAAGGCCTGTCGGCTCCCCTGGAGGCTGTTAGGAAGATGATAGGAAAGGTCAGGTGATAGGAAAGAAGGCCCCAGGGATACTGGTCCAGAGAAATCACAGATGGTTGCTGCTTTTGTTGCACTCGGGAGAGGAAACAGGTTCCTATGGCCCCTCGCTTTCCAACAGTCGCCATCAGTCCTACAGACCACGTCGTGCCTGGCCTTGTAGCTTCTGACCAGTAGATACTCCCATGGCCACGGCAGGGTGTGTCCTCAGTTGGCATCCCGGCACCCTGACACCCCCGTCAGGATGTGCGACAGGTGAGGCGTGGCGTTGCTACCTGGCGGTATTGATGAGCGCCAGTGCTGGTGCCGGCCACCTGGACATGGTGAGAGGGGTCCTGGACCTGTAGCTTCCTCTCAGCTGCCTTTGCCAGCTAGGGTGCAAGCCCCTAGGCTGTCCAAGCATGCCATCTCTAGGAGCCACATGGAACTCTAGTCATGTGGTCAGCAGTGGGGAAGCGTATGTGCAGGGCAGCCTGGGCTTCGCCAAAGACAGAGGCTGAAACAGCTCTCTTCACCTCTACCCCATGAGGTGTCTTAGAATACAGAAAGTTAAGTGTGAGCTGCTGTTAGAGACCCGTCACCCCTGAGCGTAGGCAAGAATGCTGTGCGTGTGCTGTGTGTGCCTCAGGGTGTGTGTGTCCACAGTTATACTGTGTATCTCTGCATGTACAACTGTATCATGTGTGCCTGTGTTTTGTGCATGTAGATGGCTGTATATTTAGTATTTGTGTGGTATCTGTACATTTGTATATTTGTATAATGTATGGATATATCGATGGTGTATATATGTGTGGTATGCATGTGTTTCCATGTTAGTGTGTGTCTGTGTAGTATGTGAGTGTGTCTTTGGTGTATGTTTTTAAATTTCTGAACTTATCCCCTCTCCGCAACCCCCCAAACATGGGTCAGTACAGCAATCATGAAAACAGTCTCCCACCCTCACTCACAAGAATTGCACATGGGATTTTCACACAGTATGCACGCTTATTTGTGCCTCACTGTTTCTGTGTGGGTGTGTGTATACATATGCCTGTCTGTGTCTCTGTAGCTACATAGTTTGTATACATCTGTGCGGTATGCATATTTGTTGATTTGTGCTTGTATGTATGTGTATTAATTTTTGTGTTTGTGTATGTGTCTGTGTGTAGAGCTGCACAGTGTTTGTAAATGTGTGCTTATCTGTGGTGTGTACATCTTTGTGATACATATGTGTATTTTTACTATGTTTGTGTACATGTGTGATGTGTGTATATATCTGTCTGGTGTGTATGTGTATCCATGTGCTTGTGTGTGGTATGTTTACATATGTAGTGTGTATATGTGTGTATCTTACATGTGTGTTTGTGTGGTGTGTATATCTGTAGTGTGTGAATGTATTTGTATCTGCATGTATGTCTATATCCAGGTGGTGTGTATCATCTGATCTGTGGTGCATGTGGTTATTCTGTGTATCTGAGTGGTGCCCGTGTGTGTCTGTATATGTATACATACGTTTGTGTGTCTGTAGGTGTGCCTCTGAGTATCGGGTTGGTGTGTGTCTCTGGTACACGTGTGTGTCTGTATGTTCACGTCTCCTTGGTCAGCACCATCAGTTAAGGTTGTCATCCCCACCCCCCAGCGGCTAGAAATGGCCTGCCGCCTTCCACCTGAGCCCTCTAGACTCTCCTGGGCTTTGGATGGCTGCGTTGCAAGTTGTGTAGAAACAGGGAACAGGCAATTTTGTCATAGTCCTGACACCCTTCTCCTTCCTCAGGGGGTTTTGTTACTTCAACTCCGTGGCAGTGGCGGCCAAGCTTCTCCAGCTGAGGCTGAATGTGAGCAAGATCCTCATCGTTGACTGGGTGAGTGGCCCAGCCTCCCAGGGGAGCCCGGAAGGGCCTACATGCCTGTCTCTAGAGCAGACAGCCTGGCTGAGGCAGACCTTCACCTCCACTGATCCTGGAACTTAGAGAACTGAACTTTCTGGAACCCATGTCAGAGATCAGAGAGGGGTGTGTTTCATGGCCTCTGGCAGTGTGTGTGGGCTCTGACCTGCAGTAGAGATGACTCAGGGTTGAGAGTGTGGCCAGGACTGAGCCCCAGCACTGACTGATGGAAGGCAGAAGTCCAGGATGTGCTACCTGGCCTTGGCCTCGGGTCTCTGGTCTGAGCATGTGGCCAGGACTGAGCCACAGCACCCACTGATGGAAGGCGGAAGTTGGGGGTGTGGTGCTTGGCCTTGGCCTTGGGCCTCTGGTCTGAGCATGTGGGCCCACCCAGCTACAGGCTGAGCGTGGTTCTCAGCGCGCCCCACCCCCCACCCCCCAGCCCACTTGAGTGCCTAGCTTGTACTACAAGACACGGCTGAGCTTCCTGTGGGAGGCAACACCTTATGGCCTGGAACAGCTGCCTCTGGCTGAACCCGAATTCCAAAAATAGCACAGCATTCAGTGTTCATTTCAGTATTCCTCTTTGAGCAGCGTGCCTGCGCGCACACACACCTTTCAGTTTGGCGTTTATGACTTACGCCATGCATTCTAAAGGGGAAAGAGCAGACACGCTGGTGGGGCTGATTGGTGTCGCAGAAATCCTTCAACTTCAGGAGAGGAGCCAGCGCTCAGGCTGTAGGTAGCAGGCTCCTGCCTGGCCAAGATCGCAAAGCCAGGCAAGGCAGGGGAATTCTTCCTCTTCTCAGCTGGCACCAGTGAGCCAGCAAGCCCTGAGAACCTCCCTAGCCCCTTAGGGAGCAGAGAGAGATTCCCACAGAGCAGTGTAGTGTAGCCAGGGGCATAGCGGGCCCAGCCGTGTGCTAGCCACGCACTGGGAGCTGCGTAGCGGGCCCAGCCGTGTGCTAGCCACGCACTGGGAGCTGCGTAGCGGGCCCAGCCGTGTGCTAGCCACGCACTGGGAGCTGCGTAGCGGGCCCAGCCGTGTGCTTGCCACGTACTGGGACAGCATAGTGGCCTAGCTGTATACAGGGGACCTCATAGTGGGCCTAGCCAGAGTGAGCTAGCTGTGTACTAGGGACGGCCCAGCCAGCCTCCTGTGTACTGTAGATGGCTCTGTGGCCATCCTGTAGGTAAATGCATATGGTGGTGCCCCTGGCTCCTCTGGATACAGCCCAGCACTGACCATCTGTGTGGAAGTACCACATTCCCACAGCACGAAACCAACCTCTAAAAGATTCCCAGCTAGAACCCCTAGGTGGCTCACGCGCACACACACACACACACGCACATGTAAAACATGGCCGCCCAGCCCCACTAATTCTGGGAACCACCTCCCATGTTCCAGGACAAGGACGGGCACAGCCCTTCAGGAAGCGCAGGGACCTGTCTTAGCTCCCTCCGAGAGCAGTATGGGAGCCTGGGCCCTGTCACTGGTAGCCACGTGGTTCCAGGCACGCTCCAGCATGGAGTGATGCTCAACAGGTGCCCGTGAGCAGCCAGGCCACAGAGACCTCCCTTTGGATGGTTCACTGTGGATACACAGTTGGGTGTGGCTGAAACAACAGAGCCCATTCAGCTCCTCATGAATCTCCAGTCCTGCATGTGCCCCTCATCTATCCTGCCGGGGTGCCTGGCCCACTTGGAGGTGTCAGGCCATCTCCCAGAGTGAGCTGTCACCCCAGGGCATAGAGGGGTCCAGCTGAACAGTGAGGGCCCAGGTGTGAGGCCCGGTGGCCTGAGCCGGCTCTCCTGGTCCCTCAGGATGTGCACCACGGGAATGGAACCCAGCAGGCTTTCTACAGTGATCCCAGTGTGCTCTATGTGTCCCTGCACCGCTATGACGATGGGAACTTCTTCCCAGGCAGCGGGGCACCTGATGAGGTAAGAAGCTGGGAGTGGGATGTGGTCAGGCGTGGGAGTGAGCCCGTGAGCCATGGAGAACGGGGTGCACACCGGCCTGCCAGCCTGCATTTCGTCCAGGTGCCCAGGGCCTGCGTTTTGTCTAACACACAAATGTAAATTAAAGGACTCAAGTCCACCTCCAATCTAGGCCAGCGGAAGCGTTTGTGCATGAGTGAGCCAGCAGTGCACTCTCTTCCAAGAAAGCCTGTGCTCTGTACTTGGGTGACACTCCCAGCTGGGAATCTGGAGGTGCAGTACAGCACCGGGTCCCCCTCCCCCACCCCACCTCGGGATTACAGAGGCTGCAGGACAGCACCAGCTCTCCTTGGCCTGCCCTACCTCTCACTGCCTACGAGCAAGCGCGAAGTAGCAGAATGCTCCTCCTGGAGACACATCTGGTTAGCATGTAGCACATGGCACAGATGGGCAGGTCTTTGGAATGTTCCTGAGGGGGACTCCTGTGGTACAAGGTCAGAGGTGGTTCCCCACGGTTCCCACAGTTCAAGGTCCCTGACACCAGAAGCATTGTATGAAAACTGCTCCATTCTTAACATTAGCACAGCAGGTATTTGGGTGCCCAGCCTCACGTACTAATGAATCTGCGGGGCCCCGGACATACAGGTCTGCAGGCAGACCCTGCGGGTACCATCAGCCAGAAGATACCTCAGCCCAGGGGCCACCAACAGTGGGTATTCCTGCCGCAGGATCTGTGACATGGATTTCTCTCCTGGCCACAGGTGGGCACAGGGCCAGGAGTGGGCTTCACTGTCAACATGGCTTTCACGGGCGGCCTGGACCCTCCCATGGGAGACACAGAGTACTTAGCAGCCTTCAGGTGAGTCCCCAGTCTTCGTGGAGCACTTACAAGATGAGTACTTGGGAACGTGTCTGTGAACTGTAGACAAAGGCCACAGACACACGAGCTCGGTTCAGCCTTCAACACCTAAGCGCAGCCTCTGTGCCTGAGGCAGAGCCCAGGAATCCGTGTCCATCCTGATGGTGAAAGCCAATGCCACAGGCAAGGACTCGATGCAGTGCTGGAACATGCTGTTATGAAGGAAAGCTGAGACGCAAACCCTAGAAATGGGATTATCTCCTATCTTCCACAAACCTTTTTTGAGTTGCTATAGAGTGGAAAGAAATCATTTCTTCATTTATATAAACACTGAATCAAGGTCCACCTCACACCCCTTCCTTACATAACCCTTGTCCTTAAGCTTGGCCACAGAGTGGTCACTTCTAAAACTGCTTGTCATCGGATGTTAAACTGATTTCTCTCAACCAGAAGGAGGTGGCTTGACCGGGCCGGGTTCTCGGTGTGAAAGGGCAGGATGAGGATCTGTGGGCAGCGCCTAGCTCGGGTGCATGGCAGCCTGTGAGAAGGGTTGGTGACCTGGCTGACCCACCCAAGAGACCGGGCGTCTTGGCAAAGGAGACAGCGCATTGTGGGCCAGAAGTCTGGAGTTTAATATATGTGTGCATGTGTGTGCCTGGGCACCCATCTGTACAGCTAGTTGCATATGTGCTTGTGAGACCACACCTCTGGGGATGGAAGTGCCCGTGTGCGTGCACATGTCTCTGGGCGTGCCCAGTGGATAAGGCTGCAGGTAAGGCTGCACAAGGACAGTCTGTAAAGGCTTTGCCCTGTGTTCTGCCACGAGCTCTGTGGAGATACTGGGTGAGACCCATGATACCTCTCAGTGTCCTCTTGCTCATGTTGACCTGGGTCCTGGCCCCAGGGTCCACTGGAAGAGTAGCTGGGAGGCGATAAAGGTGGCCTCCCGGTCTCAGTTACATCTAGAAGTAAGGAGTCCCTTTGATTAAATCAGGAAGGAAGTGGGCTGCATGTCCAGTGCTGGCCTGAGGGGGCAGTTACTGGGCCTTCAGAGGCCTGCCCTGCCTTCCTCCCATCTGTCGGAGGTACCCCTCATCCGCAGTCTTGTGATGGTGATGGCTGAACCTGAGTTGAGAACAGCGTGCGTGCCCACACTGTGGTAGCCTGTGGTGGACATCCTGCCCGTGTGGACGCTGGCCTCAGAATGAAGGCCCGGTGGGTCCGAGCCCAGCCGTCTGAGCCCGTGGTGATGCTGCCGCTGCTGCTACCACTGCCGCACTGCACATCTGCACTCTCTGGCTGCCAGCTACGCTTTGACCTGGGGTAAGAGTTTGAGCCTTTTGGCCCTAGCCCAGGTCCAGAGGTGTGGCCCTTCCGGGAGGCTCCCCTGGTTCACCGGGCTGGCCTCTAAGGTGAACTTCGCCCCGGCGGCCTCTGATCTGCTCTCACGTCCTGCCCAGCGCGTGCGGGATGATCTTACCACTGCGCGTTTTAAAGCTTCACTAGCTTCTTTGAAAAGGAAAATTGTTTCAGGCTCTTTTTTTATTGATTTTAATGTGAAGTAGCGCTTTGAAGTTTACAGTTTATGGTTCCCCAGGCGTTGGGATGGGGGGAAGGGTCAGCACGCTGCCCCCTCTCTTCTTTGCTCCCCCTCTCGGCGGCCCCTTGGGGCAGTGCATGCCTCAAAGGCTGCCCCTTGTTCAGAGCCCCAGCCTGCCAGGTTGGGTTTTCAGGGGATCAAGCCTCAGATGAAGAAAAGATAAGAAAATTGTCCCTAATGAGATCCAGAGGTAGCCGGCACTTTCTCCTCCGGCTCAGAGACTCAAAGAAGAAAAGGGACCTTAATTCAAACCAGTCTCCGGGCCAGACATGGCTTTGAAGTGTGCCGGGCACCCAGCTACAGCACTGTGCTTTGGGCTTGGACGCAGAGTGGCCCGTGGTCCTTAACCCCTCACTCACCTGCCGTCAGTGCTTGGCTCCCCGCGGGCAGTGTCACCGGGCTGGGGGCCACACGGGGTGTCCTGACAGGCACGGGAAGCTCTGCTGCACAGACCTGGCTCACCTCGAGCGACAGGTGGCCGTGGACCATCCGGCCGCAACCGTTTGAAGGCTGACGCACAGAGGCCCACGGCTGCTGGTGAGCCACACGGACGCAGGGCCGGCCCCTCACAAGTGTGGTCTTGGGGGTACCACCAGCACTCAGATGCTGTGTCCCGGGTAGCCGCCTGCCTGTGGACAGGTCCACACCCCAGGCTGCCTTCGTTTCTAGCAGCAGTCCACGCGTGTGAGGAGGCGCGGTGGGGTTGCACTTGAACTCAGGATTTTACGCTGGGCACACCCTCTACCTGAGCCGCTCCTCCTGTGCTTGCGGTGCCTTCCAGAGAGGCATGTGCTTTTTCCAGGCCACTCTTGGACTGTAATCCTCCTGCTTTTACCTCCAAAGACACTAGGGTTGCAGGTGTATACCACCACTCTGATTGTGTTTGAGACATGGTCTTGCTGACTGTTTATTGCCCGGGCTCTCCCGGAACCTCTGCCCTCTGAGTTGCTGTGAGTATAGACATGCACTACCACTCAGTTGATCTGAGGACTTGGTACACTGATTTTAGAAATAAGAACCAGAAGCAAAGTTTGGCCAGCCTGCCTGGATCCTAGAGAAGGAAACAACAGATAAAGTGAAAAGGTATTGGAGCCCTGGGCAGCAGTGGGCACACCCAGGCGGCCCTGCTGGGCACGCGTCTCCGCGGGGAGGCTGGGCCCTTCCGGGCAGAGTGAGTTTGGCGCAGGTGTCTTAGGGGAGAGGCACACTCCCCAGGGAGGACTCAGAGCCCGACCCTGGGAGCCTCTGGGAATGATGGATGGATCTACCTTCTGAGTGAAAGGTGTGGTCTGAGAGGGAGCGCTCCAGGGTGGGCTAGGCACCGGAAACAGTGAGGACACCCAGAGAGGAAGGAGAGTGGTGGGGCGGGCCCCGTGGGGCCCAGAGAGCTCCCGGGCCCTGGCCGGGCGGAAGGGGAGCACCTCTCAGGGTGGGGCAGAGAGTGCTTTGTGGCCGCTTGTGTGTCCTCGATTTCAGAAACGCAAGTGTCCACCTGAGCTGGCCGTTGGGGACACGGGGAGGCAGTGTCAGGTTAGGACAGAGGCCCTCGGTGTGAGGAGTGCAGACATGGCTTTGGCTTCCGAGCAGCTGGAGGGATGACCCCAGCGCAGAGCTGAGGGCTGGGCCCCCTGCGCCCGGCAGAGGCCATTCCCGGGGCTGCGCTTACCACACGCTGCCCTCACTGGTCTCCACTCTGTGACTGGCGTATTTCCTGGGTGTGTGGAAGCAGACTGAGAGAGGGAGACCTTGCGAGGAAGGAAAGCGCCATGGAGCCATGCGGTGGGCAGGGTGAGTGAGAGCAGAGGCTTGAAGATGGGAAGGTGGCTTTTCTCTGCAGACTTGGAGGAGCCTCTGGGGTGATGGCAGCCAGAAACCGCTGCTCCTCCCCGTCAGAGGTGACCCAGGCTATAGGCTGCCACAAGGGGCAGGGTGGAGTGGCTGAGGCTCTGGAAGTAGAAGCGGGCTTCCCAGGCGTGCCCGCCCTTCTCCCCCACTCCCTCCCAGGAGGCTGAGAGGCGAGGGAACGTCAAGTTCCCCAGGAGGCAGCTGGCACAGGGAAGTGTGAGGCGTCCAGGGACTGTGGGGCAGGGGCCCCGGGCAGGGCCGGGCCGGCCTGCATGTGTGAGGGCTTCTCACCGGCTGTGGGCACCCCGAGCAGTGCCTGTCTCTGGTCCTTAGGCAGAGCAGCCAGGCACTTGGTGGATGAGTAGTTCTAGGAGGGAAACAGCCTGGTTTGCGGTCCCGAAGCCTAGAGGGTGTCCACCCAGGCCTTCAGCAGGAGCGTGGTGACATTCCCATCGCACTGCTGAGCTCTGAGGCAGCGCGGGCCCACCAGTCTGGGCCATGTTGCACACTTTGTGTGGATTGGCTTCGGGGTGGCACCACCACACAGCAAGTGTAGACACCAGGGACTCTTGGTTTGAACTTCATTTAATGATGATTTTAGCAGGACTTGGCTTGGGAGTGGGGATTAGAAGTCAAGGAGCTCAGCACTACTTCAGAGGGAAGAGCTAGAGCCTGCCACACGCCCTTGCTTCAAAGCGGCAGCCATGGGCTGTGGCTTCCTTGAAAGAATGTCTTGGCTTTAAAGCCCATACCAGAGCCCTAGCTGGAACTGCTTTTCTGCCTGGAGAAACAGTCTTCCTGGAGAGCAGGAAGGGCGGCTGCACTCTGTTCTGCCATCTGTCAGGAACCTCTGAGGAAGATCTGGGCCTGAGGCCTCTGCCACGGGTGCCCTTGGAGAGATTGGCTCCCTGTGACACAGAGGGGGGGGCGGGCCTGCCACGGGTGCCCTTGGAGAGATTGGCTCCCTGTGACACGGAGGTCTGGCCCGCCACGGGTGCCCTTGGAGAGATTGGCTCCCCATGACACTGGGGGCGGGCCTGCCACGGGTGCCCTTGGAGAGATTGGCTCCCTGTGACACGGAGGGCGGGCCCACCACGGGTGCCCTTGGAGAGATTGGCTCCCCGTGACACGGAGGTCTGGCCCACCACGGGTGCCCTTGGAGAGATTGGCTCCCCGTGACACAGAGGTCTGGCCTGCAACGGGTGCCCTTGGAGAGATTGGCTCCCCATGACACTGGGGGCGGGCCCGCCACGGGTGCCCTTGGAGAGATTGGCTCCCTGTGACACTGGGGGCGGGCCCGCCACGGGTGCCCTTGGAGAGATTGGCTCCCTGTGACACTGGGGGCGGGCCCGCCACGGGTGCCCTTGGAGAGATTGGCTCCCCATGACACTGGGGGCGGGCCCACCACGGGTGCCCTTGGAGAGATTGGCTCCCTGTGACACGGAGGGCGGGCCCGCCACGGGTGCCCTTGGAGAGATTGGCTCCCTGTGACACGGAGGGCGGGCCCACCATGGGTGCCCTTGGAGAGATTGGCTCCCTGTGACACGGAGGGCGGGCCCACCACGGGTGCCCTTGGAGAGATTGGCTCCCCGTGACAGGGGGGCGGGCCCACCATTGGTGCCCTTGGAGAGATTGGCTCCCCGTGACAGGGGGGCGGGCCCACCATGGGTGCCCTTGGAAGAGAAGGACCTCTGGGAGTGGCTAGGTCTTGGCTCCACCCTTCCCCCCCTCCGTGTGTTCTGCTGTGTGAACTAACAAGGCTATTGTTCTTTTCCCACATACTCACAAGAAAGGCTCCTGAAGTCTGGGGCTGGGGCCCTACACTGAAGAACAGGACAGGAGCTGTGTAGATGAGCTGGGAACATGTAGGTCAGATCTGCCATTGCAGTTCTGTGAGGGTCCCAAAGTCAGTTGTCGCTGTCACGGGGCAAGGCAGCTTCAAGGCCTGACCTCACAGCACCTGTGGGCTCCTGGCAGGGTGTCTGCAGGCCCCACGGTGGGCCCCGGAGTCCTGAGGGGCAGACGACAGGACCTCTTCAGCTTGCCCCATAGGGCGTGCCCCTTCTTGTGGCCACGTTGGTGCTTCTGGTGTCCGCAGTGGGGATTTCAGTGGGCAGCAGAGGCTGAGTGAGAAATGGGGTGCTGAGGGCGACAGTCACGTGGTTCTGATGGTGGGAGGGACCTTGCCCTGCAGGGCCGTTTGTCTGCCTCCCTGGGAGCCTGCACACACAGGAGGCTGCAGGCCACAGCTGTGGAAGGACAGGCGTAGGAAGCTGGCGTGTGATCTGCCCGGCAGAGGCTCACGGCGCCTACCCACGGTCACGTGACCCAGATGCCCGGGCACCTGAGCACACCCCCAGGTCCTGGGCCACTCACCTTCCGAGGGCCACTGCTGCCCGCCCGGCACCCGCAGAGAGATTGGAAGCCAGGACTGACCATGAGCCTCGAATGAAGCGCGTCCAGGCCCACAGAGCAGCGGAGAGCTCGAGTTCTTGTAGGACGCAGCTGACAGTGGTTTCTCAGCTCCTCATTGCAGTATCTTGCTGGGGCACAGTTGTTGGACTCTTGGTGGGGTTTGCGTTTCCCTAAACATGTGACCAGTTTTCCCTGTCACCGTTGTAGGTGTCTGCTTGCTAGCTCCCCTCACACTGCTGTGTGCCGGAGGCCTCTGGGCAAGGGGCTGGCGTGGGGGCTGCTCTTCCAGGGCTGAGGCAGCAGGCCGCTGTGCTGGAGCCACGCCTGCTGGTGGTGTTCCGTGACAGTGCCCTCCCAGGCTTGGGGAGCAGGCCTGTTTGGAGAGTGGGGTGGGGCGGGCAAGGCCGGGCCTGGAGTGGCCTGCCGTGGGTCTCTGGTTGGTGTGACCCATGCAGTGGTGGTCACAGGCAGCGAGAAGGCCCATGCGGCACCTTTCCCGAGCTGCTGTGGGGCCTGTTGTCCTGGACTTGAAGACAGATGCCTGTGGAGTGCACCTGCGTCGCCCGCAGAGCCCACCCCAGGATGGCCAGGGGCTCTGGGGTCAGCTGCCCATACCATCTCCTGCTCCTTGCAGAGCCGTGGTCATGCCGATCGCCAACGAGTTTGCCCCAGATGTGGTGCTGGTGTCCTCGGGCTTCGATGCTGTGGAGGGTCACCCGACGCCTCTCGGAGGCTACAACCTGTCTGCCAAATGTAAGTGGGTCTGCCGAGGCCAGTCGCCAGGCTCATGATGGCTCGTGGTGACTGGTCCAGAGCTCTTTGTGTGGAGGGACGTCGCCTTGGTTTCACCCAGGAGACAGGGCCGCCCCGGCCCCTCACTCACCCGGCTCAGCAGGGCAGCACAGCGCTCACGCGGGAAGCCCAGGCCCTCCACCCTGGGGCCAGCCACGCACGCATGCCAGGCTCCCTCCTCGCGTCTACGGCCCTACGAGCCAGCTGGCTGTGAGAACCAGAGCTGGCACTGGCCCTGTGTTGTGTGTGTTCCATTCTCTGATGCTGCTGTGACTCTGGGAGGAGGTGCGTGCCTGCTGCCAGGAGGGGCCAGGGCTGCTGGCGCTCACCGGCCCGACGCCAGCGCTCCCAACTTCTGCGCTGGCACAGCACACCAGAAGGATTGGAAGGCTCCCTGGCTCTGCCCCCTCCCCTCCTGTCCCCATCAGCTCAGATGAAGGAGTGCCCATCTGGCCCGCATACAGGGAAGGGAGGGTGGGCCAGAGGTGGCCTCAGGGATGGCCATGCGGTAGTAATGCCTCACACAGCCCCCCTGCCCCTGGGCTGTAGGTGGTGAAGCAACAGGCCAAAGGTGGGGTTCCCGCTGGGCGCCCCACCACCACATTCTGGGCACTCTCTCTCATCAGAGCCTGGCAGGACATGCAGCCTGCCTGGGTCTAGCATGGAGACCACTGGTTTATGAAGGTTCTCCTACTGTCCAGCACGCACCAGCCCCCTCTGGCTGCAGGGGGTGATGGTGATGGCCACCAGGGGCAGCCGCTTTGCATGGTGAAGGCATTGGCTGTGGTCAGAGCAGATGTGCGTACGGGAAAGCCTGGGCGGTGTGCATGGTGTGGATCTGTGTGCCTGTATGCACATGTGTGCCCATGCAGGGCTGTCAGGTGCCCAGAACGCCCAAGGTTCCTCAGGGAAGCATGGGGCACAGGGCCTCTGGGTGGGATTGGTGTCCTGTGCTCCAGACAAGATGATCGCAATACCCATAATCCACTCTTGAACAGATGAACAGGAAATCCAGTACCACAACTCAAGTAAATGTATTAAACCAAGCCTGGCCCACGTGGCCTTGTCTCCCTCTCTCTGGGAGACGGGTCACACTTGGGGCTGCTGAGGTGCAGCATGCCACCTGCTGACACCTGTCCTCCCATTGCAGGTTTTGGGTACCTGACAAAGCAGCTGATGGGCCTGGCCGGCGGCCGGGTCGTGCTGGCCCTGGAGGGCGGCCATGACCTGACGGCCATCTGCGATGCCTCTGAAGCCTGTGTTTCTGCTCTGCTGGGAAATGAGGTACGCAGACCCAGGACAGTGCCTGCCCAAGGCTTCAGGGCCTGCTGCCCAAGGCTCACAGTCTGAGATGCAGCGGCCTCAGTGCCATGTGTTCCTTCCCACCCCTAGAGCTGACTGCAGCCGGGAGGCTGGGTTCTGATGGGGGGAGTAGATGATGGGCAGGAAGTCTGCTCTGAGATGCAGTGTGATGGAAGGTTTGTTGCTTCACCATGAACCTCCTGAGGACAGTCGGGCTCTCTAGGATCCTCTAGGTTGATGTCACAGGCTCCTAGTGGCTTGGGGCAGGAAGCCTCACTACCCAGCAGCACCACCTGCCATTGGGGGTGACATCTGGGTCTGCACCCCACACAGGGTGCCCAGCACTGCAGGATAAAGTCAGGGAAACGGCGATGTGCACAGAGAGCCTCTGAGGCCCTGGTCACAGGGGAAGAGAAGAGTTGAGCCCCACAGCTCCACCTGACACACAGCTGAGGGCTGGCTCACACAGCCCTGGGTCCCCCAGAGCATGCCACACAGCTGACCTTCCACGGAGTGTTCCTGAACTTCCGGTCTGTGCAGTGCTTCTAGACAGGGGCGTGCATACCATCGCCCAGCCATGGGCAGTCCCCGAGCCGCGCCCTGCAGCGCCAGCTTGGGTCAGAAAGGAGCCACCACTGGAGATAGGAACACCAGGGCCAAGCACCACAGACACAGCCTGGCCCCGAAACCACTGCTTCTTAGGCTCCTTTAGTCTGCCTTGTCACTGCACCCAGCCCCCACTCGGATGGCAAACTGGCATCACCATGAGCTGTCCCCAGTCTCCTGGGTGTTAATAACAAGAGGACCAGCAGCTCTGAAGTCTGAGGTCACTGGCTTCCACCCTGCCTCCTCTGTGCTCTCAGAAAGATGTCGGTCCCCAGCCAGCCAGACATATTATCAGAACTTGGTGGGACACCCCAGCAGACCTCAGGTCTAGGGTCTAGGTGGCTGCTGCAGCTGAGGCCCACGTTGTCCTCATTGGGTGGATGGAGGCCATGCTGAGACTCCCCACAGATGGCCTCCTGCCTGGGGAGGGTCCAGGTCCCGCCGGCCAGGGAGGAGGTGGCAGCAAGGAAATGGGTGGGGTGCAGGACGGGTTTGCAGGGCGCTGTCTCCCTTACAGGCCTGGTGGAGTGGTCCACAGGCAGGCGGGGAGCCACGTCATGGCTGGGAAGGTGCTGGGTGCTGTGACTCCATGACAGGGCTCTGGGGACAGGCAGTGGGCAGGCTGGGCCGCTGGTCACGGGGCCATCTGCTGGGAGGAGCTGCGGGGGAGGCCGGGGTGGCCTCCTCACACACAGCCTTCTGTCCCATCCGGGCACCCTGATGCTCAGGGAGTCCAGGCCCTGATAGGTCAGCTGTGCTGCCGCCGCCGCCGCCAGGACCACAGGCCCAGAGCCCTGGGGGGGGGGGGGGGGGGTGTTGAGAGGATTAGCAAGTTCTGGTCTGCACTCACTGGGTCACCCACAGAGAACCAGCAAGCCTTCGTGTCCTTTCTGAGTCTGACACTGGGCGAACTGTCCTCTTTGCTTTATTGTTCTTTCTTCACATGCATCGTCTTCCCCATTTCCGCCATAGTTAAAAATCCTGCCCAGACGGAAGCTTTTCGATTCTCTGCACTAACTACTTTAGAATAACGACAGAAGACCTGGCTTCCCCTCAGCCTGCCTGCTTCCTCAACCACAGAAAAAAGTTCTTCTATCTTAAAAAGCGAGAAACACTTTTATCGAAGGTTCTTTAAAAATCTCTTTAATGCACAAAAATTAGATGGAACCCTCTCCTGTCTTCCGGCCTTTGCTAAAGGTTGGTGCTCAGCGTGCAGGACCCTCTCCCCTGTCTTCCGGCCTTTGCTAGGGTTGGTGCTCAGCGTGCGGGACAACTTGGTACACACACAGCCAGGCATGCAGCCGTGGGGGGAGGGGAGGGCCTGAGGGAGCCCTGTGCCCACTCACGGAGGGCGCAGGCCTGGCCGCCAGCCTGCCCGAGGGACTCACCGCACTCTGCACGCTCGGCTCCGACTCAGTGCTGCTCCAAGGAGCCCTGTGCTCAGTGGTCTGCAGCCGTGGATGGAGCCACAGCAAAGCCACCGAAGGTGCTGCATGCTGCCGTTAGCCGAGCTGGAGCCAGAGGCCTGCAGCCAGCGCTTGCGCCCCAAGGCCTCTGTTGAGAGGAGCCCCAGGTCTCCTTCCTGACGGACTGCACGAGGCCCAGGCGTCGGTTGTGGAGCTCACTTAACCCTCTCCCGGGGTTAGGGTCGACCTTCTGCGGAGAGGCGGGATGGAGTGTGGGAAAGGGTATTCCTGGTGGAGCTTAGCAGTGTTCCAAAGTGTCATCATATTTGGATATTTATGTGATGTCCTTATAGCAAAATTCAGAGATAAAAGGAACAAGAGGTGTGTGTGTGTGTGTGTGTGTGTAGGTGTGTGGGTGGGTGGGTGGGTGTGTAGGTGTGTGTGTAGGTGTGTGTAGGTGTGTATGTGTGTAGGTGTGTGTGTGTAGGTGTGTGTGTAGGTGTGTGTGTGGGTGTTTATGTGTGTGTAGGCGTGGGGGGGTGTGGGGGGGGGTGTGTAGGTGTGTGTGTGTATGTGTGTGGGTGTATGTATGTCTGTGTGTGTGTGTATGTGTGTGTGTGTATTTGTGTGTGTGGGTATGTGTGTGTGTGTGCGTATGTGTGTGTGTAGGTGTGTGTGTAGGTGTGTGTGTGTAGGTGTGTGTAGGTGTGTGTGTGTATATGTGTGTGTAGGTGTGTGTATGTGGGTGTGGGTGTGTGTGTGTGTGTGTGGATGTGTGGGTATGTGTGTGGGTGTATGTATGTCTGTGTGTGTATGTGTGTGTGTATGTGTGTGTGTGTGTATTTGTGTGGGGGGGTATGTGTGTGTGTGTGCGTATGTGTATGTAGGTGTGTGTGTGTAGGTGTGTGTGTGTATATGTGTGTGTAGGTGTGTGTGTGTATGTGTGTGTGTATGTGTGTGTGTGTATTTGTGTGTGTGGGTATGTGTGTGTGTGTGTGCGTATGTGTGTGTAGGTGTGTGTGTGTATATGTGTGTGTAGGTGTGTGTATGTGTGTGGGGGTGTGGGTATGTGTGTGGGTGTGTATTTGTGTGTGGGGGGGTATGTGTGTGTGTGTGCGTATGTGTGTAGGTGTGTGTGTGTATGTGTGTGTAGGTGTGTGTATGTGTGTGGGGGGGTGTGTGTGGGTATGTGTGTGTGTGCGTATGTGTGTAGGTGTGTGTGTGTAGGTGTGTGTAGGTGTGTGTGTATATGTGTGTGTAGGTGTGGGTGTGTGTGGGTGTGTGTGTGGGTGTGTGTGTGGGTGTGTATGTGGGTGTGTAGGTGTGTGTGTAGGTGTGTGTAGGTGTGTGTGTGTATATGTGTGTGTAGGTGTGTGTATGTGTGTGTGGGTGTGTGTGTGGGTATGTGTGTGGGTGTGTATGTGGGTGTGTGGGTATGTGTGTGGGTGTGTATGTGTGTGTAGGTGTGTGGGTGTGGGTGTGGGTGTGTATGTGGGTGTGTAGGTGTGGGGGGTGTGCGTGTGTGTGTGTGGGTGGGTGTGTGGGTGTGTATGTGTGTGTAGATGTGTGTATGTGTGTGTGTAGGTGTGTATGTGGGTGTGTGTGTATGTGGGTGTGTAGGTGTGTGTGTGTAGGTGTGTGTGGGTGTGTGTGTAGGTGTGTGTATGTGTGTATGTGTGTGTGGGTGTGTGGGTGGGTGTGTATGTGGGTGTGTGGGTATGTGTGTGGGTGTGTATGTGTGTGTGTAGGTGTGTGTGTGTATGTGGGTGTGTGGGTGTATGTGGGTGTGTAGGTGTGGGTGTGGGTGTGGGTGTGTATGTGGGTGTGTAGGTGTGTGTGTGTAGGTGTGTGTGTGTAGGTGGGTGTGTGTATGTGGGTGTGTATGTGGGTGTGTATGTGTGTGTAGGTGTGTGTGTATGTGGGTGGGTGTGTGTATGTGGGTGTGTAGGTGTGGAGGTGTGCGTGTGTGTGTGGGTGGGTATGTGTGTGGGTGTGTGTGTGGGTGGGTATGTGTGTGGGTGTGTGTGTGTAGGTGTGTGTGTGTAGGTGTGTGTGTGTATGTGGGTGTGGGTGTGTAGGTGTGTGTGTAGGTGTGTGTGTGTATGTGTGTGTAGGTGTGTGTGTATATGTGTGTAGGTGTGTGTGTGTGGGTGTGTGTGTGTGTATGTGTGTGTGGGTGTGTATGTGTGTGTGTAGGTGTGTGTGTGTAGGTGTGTGTGTAGGTGTGTGTGTGCGTAGGTGTGTGTGTATGTGGGTGTGGGTGTGTATGTGTGTGTGTGTATGTGGGTGTGTGGGTGTGTATGTGGGTGTGTAGGTGTGTGTGTGGGTGGGTGTATGTGTGTGTAGGTGTGTGTGTGTAGGTGTGTGTGTAGGTGTGTATGTGGGTGTGTGTGTGTAGGTGTGTGTGTGGGTGTGTGTGTGTATGTGGGTGTGTATGTGTGTGGGTGTGTATGTGTGTGTGTATGTGTGTGTGTAGGTGTGTGTGTGTGTGTATGTGGGTGTGGGTGTGTGTGGGTGTGTGGGTGTAGGTGTGTGTGTATGTGGGTGTGTGTGTGGGTGTGTAGGTGTGGGGGTGTGCGTGTGTGTGTAGGTGTGTGTGTGTAGGTGTGTAGGTGTGTGTGTGGGTGTGGGTGTGTAGGTGTGTGTGTAGGTGTGCGTGTGTGTGTGGGTGTGTGTGTGGGTGGGTGTGGGTGTGTGTGTGTAGGTGGGTGTGTAGGTGTGTGTAGGTGTGCGTGTGTGTGTATGTGTGTGTAGGTGGGTGTGTAGGTGTGTGTAGGTGTGTGTAGGTGTGTGTGTATGTGGGTGTGTAGGTGGGGGGGGGTGTGCGTGTGTGTGTGTGTGGCACTGAGGGGTTTGGCACTATCAGTCTCAGGCATTCACACTCTACACTGGGCCACTTGTGTGTGCCCACAGAAGAGCCCGAGCCACTGCCTCCTGGCTTCCCTTTGCCCCCCCCCCAGTCGCGTTTAGAACTTCCTGCTTGTCTTCGATGTTTTACGTCCCCACCAGTGGGCCGTGTGGGTCTCTGATTCTCCTTCCTGAGCCGGAGGTCTTGGCCAGCTCAGGCGGGCCCTCAGGGATCACCTCCTTACTGTTGCCTCGGCCTTCTTCTGTGCTCAGGGCCAGCAGAGCCCTGCAAGCCCTCCCCTGCACACACACCTCTGTGCCGAGGGTCAGCACCAGCTGCAGGCCCTGCCGAACTAACCAGCATCCTCTGCCGCGGGCTTCCGTGCGTCTCCAACTGCTGTAACAGCCACAGCTCTGAAGTTCTCTTCTCCCTTTCAAATCCCCTGGTGAGGTCCAGCGGCCGCTTGCTCCGTTATTATCCATGCGTGTTTGCTTTCTTGTGTGTGTCAGCACACACGGTTGCTGGGCTTTCTCTGCTCATGCCTGGAGCTTCCCCACTGGAGCTCCACCTCTAATCAGGCTTTTTTTTTTTTTTTTGGTCTGGTTGTGGGGCCTGAACTCTGGGCCTGGGCGCTGTCCCTCAGCTCTTCAGCTCAAGGCGAGCACTCTACCACTTGAGCCACCTTCCCAGCCCCTAATCAGGCTTTTTTACTGGTTAATCAGAGATAAAGTCTCAAGCTTCAAAACTTGATCCTCAGTCTCAGCCTCCTGAGTAGCTAGTGCTAACTTTTAATACTTATTCAACAGACTTCCTTTACATTTTACAATGGATCATTTCTGTAACTGGAGTCTGTGTGAATCTAAATCTGTACATTTAATGAAAAATATCAGAGCCAGTGCCTGAGTTCCTGTCTCCCCTCAGAACCCTCCCAGTCCTTCACAGTCCCGGTGGGCTCCTCTCCAGCAGTCCCTAGTGCCCTACACGGTGTTCCTCTGCTGAGCCTTTCTCCATCTTTCATTTCTTCGTAACTCACGGCCGGTGGGAATCCTGCGTATGGCTGCTCTGGGCTTTTCTCCCGTCCGTGGCTCTGAAAGCCACACTGCAGCCGCCAGGGTCATCTTAACACGCCCGTCCGGTGCGCATGTCTACAGGACCCCTGCTCTGGAGCAGTCTCCCCCGAGAAAGGTGAGGCAAAGGAGCACTGGGAGCACGCGCCTAAACCTGCGCAGGGCCGCAAACAGTGCTCCTACTCAGGTGGTGACTCCGTTCTGAGTTGTTGGTTGGCTGCATTGTGCAGCCTGTCTGGCCATGCCGACAGGTCATTGCTTGTCCCGCCGCATCCCCGGGGCTTGTCCTTCAGCGGCTCCTGACTGTTCCCACCAGCTGCACCTGAGTTTCCCCTGTCCGGCCCCTGCTGGGAGCAGCGGGCAGATGTGTTGATTCCCCTGCCCAAGGTCCTGCTTACCCCCGCTGTGTGGTGTGGCTTCTGTGACTGCGAGTCCTGTGTCTGAGGGACACAGGCAGCACAAGCATGCAGCCCCATGGAGGGCAGGGTGCTCAGGGGAGAGCTATGGTCACTTCTCACTCGGATACTGTGGACCGTAGCTGTCCACATGCACTGTTTAAGCAGAGACTCACGCAGTGGCTTTATCTTTTTTTTTGGGGGGGAGGGGGGGAGGTCCAGTCGTGGGGCCTTAACTCTGGGCCTGGGCGCTGTCCCTCAGCTCTTCAGCTCAAGGCTAGCGCTCTATCACTTGAGCCACAGCACTACTTCCAGCTTTTTTCTTTTTGCTTATGTGGTGCTGAGAATCGAACCCAGGGCCTCATGCATTGCAAGGCAAGCGCTCTACCACTGAGCCACCTTCCCAGCCCTGAGTATATCTTCTTAACTTCCACCCAGAGACAAAGTTGGACCGAAGTGTAACCTCACAGTTGTCTTCCTAGCTCACCTAACTGTGGTCATCAGGACCTGGCATTCTACCCGCTTCTGTAGCTTTGTCTACTTATTTGAGGTTTGGGGTTCCTCTTCTTTGGTTTCATTTGTTTGTTTCTTGTTCAGGTCCTGAGGCTTGAACTCAAGGCTCGGGCACTGTCCCTGAGCTTTTTTGCCTAAGGGTAGCATACTACCACTTGAGCCACAGTTCTACTTCCAGCTTTTTAGTGGTTACTTGGAGGTAAAAGTCTCACGGACTTTCTTACCCGGGCTGGCTTCAAACCATGATCCTTGAATCTCAGCCTCCTGTGTAACTAGGATTACAGCTATTGGTGCTCAACTTGATTCCTGTTTTTTGTATTTCATTTGCCCTTTAGCTGACCTGTGGCGTATGTTTCTTTGGCCCTGCAGTTTACCTACAAATCTACTCCTGACAGACTGCTACCAGTCACTTCTCCCATTACCTTCTTGGGGTACAGTGTGATGCGAGGCTAAGATCTGAGGCAGGAGCAGGGTCCGACTCCCTGCAGTGCCCTGTGCATGCACCGTGTGCACCGGACTGCAGCCTTGGGCTCGGCCGCGGTGGGGACCACTGCCTGCCTTCTCTTAGGAACCCACAAATACACTGCAGGTGGTGCCCTTGGCAAGTGCCCGTGCAGCAGCTTCCTGTACCAGGACTACAGCCGCACTTGACTGGGCCAGGCTGCTTTCTCTCCAGGGAGCCCGTGCTCGGGAGACGGATGCCGGCTGCGGTTCATGTGGGTGACCCTGCCATCCGTTGTGATCACTGCACACTTAAATCTCTTCCAGCTCGAGCCTCTGTCAGAAAAGGTGTTACAGCAGAGACCCAATGCCAATGCTGTCCGCTCCATGGAGAAAGTCATGGAAATCCACAGTAAGTTGCTCTCTGGGTGCCTGTTGGTACTGTCCTGGGGAGGCTCCCACGGTGCCCGGTCCCGCTGGGGTCTGCTCGCAGCACCCACCCCGGCCACTCTGTGCTCTGCCTGCTGCACCCCGGCCCCTCCGTGCTCTGCCCGCAGTACCCTGGCCCATTCTACGCCCTGCCCGCAGCTTCTGTAGGCCTGCACACCCCTTAACCTCCCACTGGCAGAGGGTGAGCTGACAGAGACCACGGGTGAGAAGTACCGAGGCTCAGGCAGTGTGTGGGGTCGTTTTGCCCAGGTTGGTCTGGGAGCTGCATTCTGGGTTCCGTCTGCCAGCACAGCCTCCTGAGCAGCGTGGCCGGGCCTGGGAGGGGAGGACGGCCAGGTGACACACCACCACAGCTGTCTCACGTGTACCCCACGTCCTGTCCTCAGCCAGAGACGCAGTAGCTGAGTCACACAGCACGGTCGCACGCCTGAGGTCTGCTCCCGCTCCCTGTGAGGAGCCGTGTGCTCCTGACCTCAGAGCTGTGCCCACCGACTCCCTCAGGCCAAGAAACTGGCTCAGGTAGAAGGCCAGCCGCCCCCCCCCTCCCCGCCAGGTTAGCCCCCAGCACCTGCAGAGCTTCAAGTAAGACACACCCAAGCACCAGCTGCCCAGTCTCCACACTTCCCTGTCCCAGGGCAGCCCCACGGCCCCGGCTGCCCTGTCTGTGGAGGAGGGCCAGGCCCCAGGGCACTCGGTGTCTGCAGTGCTCGGTGCCACAAACACCCACAGTGTGTGCGTGAGCTCCCCGCCACGCAGCGCCCTTCAGCGCGACCAGCGCGTGGCTTCGCGGGGGCTGGGAGCCGGCGGGGCCTCCCCGGGCGGCCCTGCGGCAGCCGCTGCGCCTTCCTCTCCCCAGGCAAGCACTGGCGCTGCCTGCAGCGCCTCGCCTCCACCGTGGGCCATTCCCTGACGGAGGCGCAGAAGTGCGAGAGCGAAGAGGCCGAGACCGTCACCGCCATGGCCTCGCTGTCCGTGGGCGTGAAGCCGGCGGAGAAGAGGTGAGCGCGCGTCCACACCTCCCCGCAGGTCTGCCCGGGCGCAGGGACACATCCCGCCCCCGTGCCGGGCTCCGTGGGGACCCACGGACACCCCTTCAGAAAGCGCGGTGGCCTTGGCTCCGGCTGGACACGCGTGACCCACCGTGCGCCCGGCGCGCCCCTTGCTCTCTCCACAGGCCCGACGAGGAGCCCATGGAGGAGGAGCCACCGCTGTAGGCCCTGGAAGCTGCTGTTCTCTCATTTGTTTGTCTGTCTTGAAGCTCAGCCAAGAAACTTTACCGTGTCACTCCTGCCTCTGCAGCGGGGCCCTCTGAGCAAGAAGGGATGCCCCGCACGCCGCGGCCACGGGAGCCTTCCGCCGCCCGGCCCGACGCCTGGAGACGCACATGCACACCGGGCATGTACATGGCAGGTACATGGAACACGGGCTGCGTGCCTGAGTACACGCACGGACACACGGAAGCCAAGCACACGCCAGTGGTCCCTCGGGGAGCGCGAAGGGAGGAGCCTGTGGGAACTTGGGCAGAGTTGCCGAGTTCTGGTGACAGGAAGAAGAGAGTGAAAATCAAAGATCTAATAATACAAAACAAACTTGATTAAAACTGGTGCTTAACGTCTGACTCTTACCCACAACTCCACAGTCTCCGTGTAAACCACTCATCTTGTAGGGTTTTTAAAAAAGAAAAGCAAAACAAAACAAAAAACCAAGTTTTCTATGGCTCTGGCCTGCCCTGCGGAGCCTAGTGGTGAGCCACAGGTTCCGCGCTGGGTCGAGGGCAGAGCTGGTTGGACTTTTAAAAATAAAAACTGGACAAAACCGCAATGTGAGCCTGGAAGTCGGCTTGAGCGTCTCAAAGCCATCGGAAGATGCGAGTTTGTGCCTTTTTTTTTAATTGTTCTGATGGATTTTTGTGGCTGGGTTTTCTGAAGTCTGAGGGACAATGCCTTAAATAAATACACGGGAAGTGAAGGACATTTCCCTGCAGCGGGTTGAGCCTGGCGGTGTGGGCCAGGCCCCGGCTGCTGTCCAGGCCACAGCTGCAGGCCTTGTCTGGCTTTATTGCTGTTTGAAGAAATGGAGGTCGTTCCAGAGAAGGGGCAGACACCGTTGGGGGCCTGAGGCCCCGCACGCTTAAATGAATCCAAAGTGTTCTTTGCTCGTACGTACGTCATGTCGCCAGTGAGCATCTCTGCCTGGTCGTAAGCATGTGGCCGCACACCGCGGTGTTGCGATCGGAATGCTTTTTATTAAAAGCAAGTAGCATGGAGTATTGCTTAAATTTTAGGTATAAATATATATATATATGTATAATATATATTCCAATGTATTCCAAGCTAAGAAACTTGATTCTTACGAGATCTTGATAAAATATTTATAATGCATTTATAGAAAAAGTATATATATATCTCTCTATATATAATAAATGCAGATTGTGAAGGTCCCTGGCCGACAGAGGACTTGGGAGCTAGCTCTGAGGTGCTTAGGGTACAGGATCCGGGTTGAAGCCCCTGGGTCTTTCGGGGTCCCGACTGGTCAGCGTTCAGACCCCCTCCCCTGCCCCAGGCACCTTCCGTTTGTACTTTTAAGTTTAGTTCTTTTCTAACAGAGCCCCGCCTTCTCTCCACCTCCATGCACATATGTACCTAATGAGTTTTTATAGCAAAGAATATAAATTTGCTGTTGATTTTTGTATGAATTTTTCACACACAAAAAAGATCCTAAATAAGCGTTGTTTTGTGAATTTTACATTTTCCTTCACCATTTAGCAGTTTTCTGAATGGTAATCATTTCTAGACCTTTTTCCTTTCTGAGTTTTCGCTTGTACCTTTTTCACTTGGAAGGTTTTTGTGGTGTGGTTTGGTTCCTTTCTTTACCGCGAGGGGCGTGGCGCGGCTCTAGCCACAGAGGGAGGGCGGAGCCAGGCCTCGGCGGGCGCTTCTCAGCCCTGTCCAGAGGCCATGCTGCCCACCATACTGGTAGCGTTAGGAGGAGCGGGGTGTCCACTCCCTCGGGCAGGTGTGGGCAGGCCGCCGGGCAGTCACGTTAGAAAACCCTGCAGCCCTCTCCGACCACTCTACATGGGGGTAGAATTCAGGCTCCAGCTTTCCAAAGACTTTTGAAGCCTGTGTGCAGCGTGGCCCGAGCAGGGCCCAGCGCTTTCCGCAGGAGCCGCGCCGCCTCTCGGGCCCGCAGCTGCAGCGCCTGCCGGCCCAGCCAGGCTCCGGCTTTGCTCTTTCTCTTTGACAGCGGATGGCCACTCTTTCCTGGGAACTTATTTTCTAGCACTTGAAGCCACCAATTTCATTCCAGAGTGGGCCCGGCTCAGGCTCGGGGATGGGCGGTCAGGCGCCCTGTGGGCCCCGGGCCGGGCGTCCGAGTTCCCTCACGTTTACAGGGTAGATGGCACCCAGCCGGACTCTGCCCGGACCAGTCCGAAGTCCTGAGTTCTCGGTCAGTGTTGGTCCGCGCGAGGGCAGGTGTTTGGTGGCACAGCTCCTCGCCTCTGCCCAGGCGCTGCTGAGATGGCCCCAGCGTCTCCGTGCCGGGGCCTGTGGCCCTCCTCTGCGCACGGCACCCGTCCCACGGCCGTTGGGGGGAGGGGAGTGCCTCATCTCACTCTTGGAAGATGAGGGTGTGACCGGGCTCCCCGCCCCCCGCCGGGTTCAGCCGGAGCTCTCCGCATGTGCACGGCGGTGCCAGGCCTGCTCCCCCTGCTGTGCGCCTGGCCTTGTGGCCCTGGCCTTTCTTCGCGGGCCGCGGGCGCGGGGCAGGCGTTAGGCGCGGCCCTGTCGGTCCTGGGAGCCTCAGCCTTTTGCTTTCTTTGTGAAGACCTGGGGTCATTGGCCGAATCTGTGAGCACTTTACATCCTTTTAAGTGCAACCCCAAGTTCCCCCGGGGTGTGTGGCGCCCGCCCGCCTTGGGACTGCCTGCCGCACCCTGTGCCCACGTCCCCCGCGGGCGCCCGCCCTGTGCTCAGGCCTGGCCGCCTCATCGGCGCCCGGGGCTTCGGCCTCAGGCCCACTGTGTGGAAGTATTCGGTTTTTCTTTCCTTTTCAAGCTGTGTCCGAGGAGCCCGGCCCTTGGCGCTCGGCCGCGCACAGGTGGCCGTGGCCTGGTTGTTTCTTTCCATCAGAACATTCCTTCTCCCCTTCCCTGGTCACAGCCGTGTTGCTCATTCCATTCTTTTTGTAGACTTTGGGCCCACGTGTTTTCTGGGCATTGATACATATATAAATATATAGATAGAGATAGATGAATATATTTTTTTAAGTTTCCTACACCTGGAGGTTGCATGGACCGTCCGCCTGGCATGTCTTTCTATTGTATACAGATTTTGCACGCCTGACTCGGCAGCTTTGGGGAAGAGGAAAAAACGCCTTTGGGTTCCCCCTCCCGGCGTTTGCAGGCTCAGAGACGAACATCTTCCCGCGAAACATCCTCGAAAGCGAGGGGGGGACCTTGTGAGTCTCACTGGACTTATTCTTCAGGAAATTGTACTTGCTCCTGCGAGGAGAATAAAAAGGACTGCGTGAGCCTTGTCCCGCCAGGGCCGTTGTATTTACGTGGAGCGTCTTGTGCGGAGACGGCCCTGCCTCCAGCGCGGCCTGCCTGTCTCTTTTGAGTTGGTTGGGAAGAATTGTTTCCTTCCTTTGTTTCCTTTTATTCTCCTTCCTCGGGGCCAGGCGCGCACCGCCCCGCCCGAGGCCCGGGGTGCGGGGAGCCCCTTTTCTGCATAGCCCTGCGGGCTTCTCGTTGCTTTTGGCGGTGGCGGGTGGCAGGAGCCGGGGTCTGGCCGCGCGGTGGGCACGCGTCCCCGCCCCAGGAGGCCGGGCTGACACTGATTTCAGTCTCCTAGCAGAAAACTCAGCCAGGTGTTTGTTTTTTGGGGTGTGTGTGTGCCCCTCCGGGGGTACTGCCTGCCAGCTTCTGGGGATGGCAGCACACACACACACACACACACACACACACACACGCCCCCCCCCCCCACGCTCCACCACCTGTGCTGGACGCTAGGACTTGACGCCCACGCGGGCTCCCCACGGGCCACGGCCACCGCTCGCGTCTGTCACTGACCCCGTTTCCTCTGGGCGGGCCTCCCGGCGCTCCCACTCGGAGCGCGCGCCGTCTGACTTGGGGCTCTGCATCCTGTTGTGTTCTGTGTGGATGGATGGTCACCGAGGGCCGCGCCCCGGCGGCCGCCGCGGCCACCTCCCGGAGTCCCGTGTTCTGTACCACATCACACACTTGTTACTCTGTGGTGTAAATAAAGATTGCCCTCCAGCCCTGCCTCTGCCTGTGCGCTCTCTTGCTCGTTGGCTCTCGCATGCGTGGGACACCCGGGACCGACCGCCACGTGACCCCCACTTGTACTCAGTGAACACATTGTGCTCTTTGCTCCCTGCACGCTCTCCACGGGCAGCGGTGAGGCATGGTCAGCTCAGACTAACGCCCCCAAATTCCAGCCAGGGCTTCCTGCACTGCCCTGTGCAGTGGCCTGCGGCTGGGGTCAACTCTGGGACCTATAGCTCAGCACCCTGGGGGTACCTGAGGGATGGCCAGCAGCACCCCAGCCTGGCTTCCCCATTGGGGACCACCTCCTCCCAGACACCCTGCATAGCTTTGCTCCACAAGCACCCTGTACAGCATTGGCCTCCCAGGACTCACACCCAAGTTTGTCTCTGAGCCCCAAAGTGAGTTCTTAGGAGCAGAGCTGCCTGTTCTGGCCTCAGCCTGGCCCAGAGAGGTCATAAATACAAGACTTTGAAGCCACCCAGTTGAGGGTGATTTGTTACACAGCACCACTGCAGTAAGCTGACCGATACAGGGATGTGAGTGGGGAGGCAGAACGAGATCAGACCAGGCCTGGTGGCCAGGAGGCCCAGCCTGGGGCTCAAAAGTGGCGGGTCTAGCAGGGCCCTGAGTCCAGTTGTAAGGAAGAGGCTTTACAACAGCCTCCAGCTTGATGGCGAAGTACCGATTTTATGGAAAATGATTGTTTAGTGATTGTTACAAAGCACCAATGTGTGCTCACCACCAATGGGGACCCTCCCCTACATTGTTGTAAGTCCCCAGTTCACTCTGAGGACTGCACTCAGCACCCTGCCCGCTCCACCAGGGACTGCACCCAGCACCCTCCCCGCTCTACCAGCACCACACACAGGGACTGTGCCCAGCACCCTGCCAGCCCCACCAGCACCACAACCAGGGACTGCGCCCAGCACCCTGCCCTCTCTACCAGCACAATACCCAGGGACTATGCCCAGCACCCTCCGCACTCAGGTAAAAAGTGAGGCAGTACTGAGGTGTATGGGGTGCTCAGGAGAATCTCTCCAGTGGGATGGCCATTCTCTTCCTCTCTGCAGATGTGGAAGTTTCCCCATTGCAGCCCACAAGGTGCGCAGGGACAGTCATGGTGGGGAGGGGGTGGGCGTGCTGGGCTCCCCTGGGGGCAAATTTGGGGAGGAAGAGGATGGAGAGTCGAGGTCACGTGAAGCCGAGAGGCCAGCCGGCAGCCTGCTCCCAGCCTGGCCCTCCCCTGCGTGCCCTGGCATCCGGACTGGAGTCCACTTGCTATCCGCAGGGCACTGGGGGCCAGATGGCACCAGAGTGCGGCGATGCGCTCTCCACCAGGACGGGGTCCCTGCTGTGCACAAGACATGGAGAGCCCCGCTGCGGCACCGCGGGTTCCGGTGTGTGACTGTCAGCAGCACTGGGAGGTGGATCTTACTGTAAATGGAGCCTCTCGAAGGTAAGAGACAAGACACAGGGCCACAGCAGGCCCCCCATCAGCGCCCCCAGCACCACTGTACGCTCTCCTGGCCACCCCATCTTCTCCCCGCACTCCAGTGTGCCTGCACCCCAGTACCTCCATGTCACCCCCATCCACGCCCCACTGCATTCAGCAGATTTGACTCCTATGATTTACTCTTCCACATACTGACATAATCT